TGGTCCCAATGGTAAGTATTAAACTGTCTAATTAAAGTATTAAAAAAATAGATTTGATTGTTTACCTGCATCTATAATTTCAGAATAGGAATTTCTTGCTTGGTTCAATAATGTTTCTTATTGGAGGGCACGTCATGACAGCCACAGCCATACATATGATAATAGTGAGTGAATATTTTTTTTTTTTTTTGAGAAATGTTTTACAAGCAAGAACGATTAATTCACCTGATTCGAATGAAACTTTTTAACTTATAATATTCAAAGAATAATTTTATTTGAAATTTACGTGTCCACTCCTCCTATGGCAATCGTCGCAAATTATTCTGCATTGATTTTTGCAAAACAATTCGATATGATCATGTGATTTTAATTATACTGGTGTAATAAACCTCTACAGTGCAAAAACTGTAATTCCACAAGTTTAGTTTTAAAAAAATCATTCAAGCCTTTATTTAATTTAATGACAATTGATCTATTTCTAGTGGAAGTTGAGAAAAAAGTTTCAAATAATAAATTCGAAACTGGAAACCAGAGCTGCGCAATATTATGCAAGGTGACTTTTTATCACAATTGGAATCTTTTGGTGAAGTCAACGAAGAAAAATAATAAAATAAAACGTAAAAATATTTAAACATTAAAACTATTTTCGAAAAGCTTTTTTTAATTAGCGCCAAAATATTATTAACATTTATATTTTAACAATAGTATGTTTCAATACATATACATAGCCGCACAAGCAGTCACATTCAAATACACGCCTCAAACACACAAAGGGGTCAAGTGGTCTTCACTAATAATGTATTATAACTTCGAGGAAATAATAAATTATGCTTATTTACATATTCTTTAATAATAAACGCTTAAATTTGTGAATGAAATGATATATTTGGGTGAAGTATTTAATTCGCGACTCTTTTGAAGAAGTCATATACAACGTGTGACAAATAAAAACCTTCAACTGATAACTAATCTTTCACGCTTCACTAAAATTGACAGGGGGTTCTTACAACAGCTCTACAAATAATTTATAAGAGAGCAATAAGCTACCGTTCATGCTTAAAAAAACAACTATAATTTGAGAAAACTTCAATCTGCACAACGCCTCATGCTGCTGGTAACAATTACTAATGTATCAGGATTGATCTTAGAAAACAGCAAGTAATCAATGAAGACGAAACGATCAATGAAATTAATAAATTGTAAGATTATTGATGTGCCACATGCAGTTATCGTTTCGCCACATCCAGCAAAAGGTAATAAAAAAGACGAATCCACACTCACTATGTTTACTTATGGAGAAAAAGGGAAAATCAGGTAGGCAATGCCTCGGTCGCGTATAAAAATTTGAATACGCCTCTTCAAGTTCAAAACGTCAATCCTAAAAAGTTTACAATGATCTAATGAAAAAAAACCACTTTATTAGATAAACCAAGAGAAAAAATTTGCACATAACTAAAAAGTACATTGGGCATTCTGCTAAAAACTGAAAACAATCTTCTCGAGCCTGCCTGTTGAGCAGAGTGCACTTATCGTAACTCTTGTGGGATTATAATTAACGTAAAGTAACTCGCAACTAACTTTGAAAAATCAGCGAGCTAGCGGAACGGATGAAATTTTACAACTTCACGCTATATTCAAGAATAGCTGATTAATACTAAGATCCTTATATAGCAAAAACCTAGAAGAATTTTGAGTATAAGAGAGACATTTCACTGTGTGGGAGATGCGGATATTTTGATCAATTTTGCCTGTAAATGTTGCCACACTTTATAATTGTCTGATATTTTCGACCTTACGATTTCGGAGTGGAGTATTCCTGGGAAAGCGTTGGTTAGGAAGGTTACCCTGAGGAGGGACCCTGCAGACATAGGAAGTATGTAAATTTAATGTAAATTGAAACAAGAGTTCAACTGAGGTCTCAAGGTAGATCATGTAGTTAGGGGTGAAAGAAGGGAGGAAGAAATTTTACGGATAAAATAGCGTTGTCGGGATTAATGGTTTCATATCGCTGGAAACCCCAATCTGGGAAGCGTAGGTTTACAATGCTTAACCACAAATTCAATTACAATATCATAAAACGTTGCACATATATTTACACGGATAATTGCATCACAATGAATGCTCATGGACCTGAATAATAATTTTCCGATGATTACTGAAGTGAGATATTTAATTGAAACTATTAGAAAACAACATGAATTATTTTTCGAAATAGTATGGATAAAAGTGCATGTAGATATTGAAGGACAATGAGTAGCAGACCAGCATGCAAAAGAGGCTGTGAGGGATCCTTATGTAAAGGTTGAGTTTGACAAGGTACTCATTTTATGTGTAAAGCCTTTTTTTTCAATAAGAATCACTCATAAAATCGGCAGTGGAGTGGAGAAATAGTCCGACTGTATAATATACTAAAACATGTTTTCTAACTATAGGGTGACGAAGTAATGTAGTATTCCAGACCGCCTAAAAACAAGTTTGTCAAGTCATGGAAAAAATAAGGAATATATCTTTATAATTGCGTATTTGGAGATGCACAAAGTTGAGGCATATTCAATGCACTAGTTTAATTGAAAGATGGCAAAAAGGAGGGAAAATTCAAAAAGGTGTGGTTGAGATGGGAAGCTGATGTCCGAGTGGATCGAGGTCACGATAGCTCAAGTGGTAGAGCAGCGGCGTATCAAGCCGAAGATCGTGGGTTCGAATCCCGCTCGTGACATTGACTTTTTTATCTCAACTGAAAACCTTAATTAATTGTTGAGGCATATGTTGTATGAGGCCTCGAAAGAGCCAGCTGTAATCTGCAAAGGAAAATCTTTTCATGAGATGAATTTGGCCACTATCATTTTTGTGTTTGCATGTATGTATGACATTGCGTATACATTTTGAGTTATACTATTTATTTACATAGTCGTATTCAGTTTGCTGCAGGACATTATTGCACCGTTTCACCTAGTCTGCATTAAATATAAGAATCAATTTATCTTAAAATATATATTAAGCATAAAATAGTTTAGAGGAAAAATATATTTAAAAACCCGAGGCATTACGCAAAACAATAATTATGGTATTAAATGGTAAGGTATTAAACTCAACAATAGATAAGTACATGAGTTCAATAAATAAAAAAGAAAATAACAATATTCAAGTGCATACTACACACAATAAATCAACTAACAGATAAGGACTTAACATCTATTTACACGTTATTAATCACAGCAATTGACTAAACCAGGCACATTGGCAAACACACATTTTCCTTCAAAGGTGCGCTTGAGATGGGAAGTTGGTGTCCGAGTGGTTCGAGGTCACAATAGCTCAAGTGGTAGAGCAGCGGCGTATCAAGCCGAAGATCGTGGGTTCGAATCCCGCTCGTGCCATTGACGTTTTTATCTCAACTAAAAACCTTAATTAATTGTACTGTAATGAAAAAAAATCGTATTGGATGCAAGTTGAAATGAATTGCTTAAAAAACACACACATCAATTTGTAATTAATTTTAATTAACTTTTATACTCTGAAAAGAGATTAGGTTAAGGTTTTTTTATTAGTCTGTTTTTTGGTGTTCTTTTTCTTGATAACAACTGGATTGTTTACATCAATGTTTAGAGACAAAAAATCTGAAAAAAACGCAGCGACTCACCGTTAGCAACTTGAAAACCCGGATCACGTCCAAAAAAGCTAAGTTTGTGCATTTGAAAGAAATGTAAGAAGGTGCTTTATTATTATGAGCTTCTTCCTCCCAATTAAAACGTTGTTTTTTCTATATACTGCGCACAATGAGAGCCATTAAAATCAGCAATTGAACAGAAACGAACTATTTTGGCTAATGGTAAGAGGATTATTTTCCACCAGGAGCTTCTCCGAGATGTGCTACCACACTCACCGTATTCGCCTGACCTGCCTGACCTTACTCCTTCAGATTTATTCTGGCCTCTGCAAAACTCTATAAATGGGGTAAATCTGACAGGATTCGAAAATGCAGAAAACGTTCAATTCATCGCTCAAAAACATGAGAAAGTTCTGAGAGTTTAATTTTTTTATTCGTGATTTCGTCCTTCGTTCTTTTATTTCAAATTTGAAGCCCAGCCTCAGTAATGTAACGTAGAGGTAGACAATAACGTCTGTATGGTGGACAGTGTAGGAATTTTACTGTTTTTTCCGCCAATCTAGGTACAATTTTCCTTCTTTTTTACATACCTTGTGCACTGGGATATTACATGGTGTCGATCTTCCTATGACCCCCAGGTGTAAGAGTTAGATGTTTTCTTTTATCTACTTTGTGAAGATATGCAATACACATCCTATGATTTGAGCGTAGGTGCCTCAGTATCAATATTTGTTTTGACTGCTATTGTGCCAACTGGAACCATGCTACCAGCGGAATAAAGGTCTTATACCTAATACCATTATTGTGTGTTGAATACATGCTGACAGCCTTTTATTCGTTGGGTCATAAGTGCCTGCATACAAATCTGCAATAGCACAGGAAAATGTGTGAGAAGTCTACAGCCATCTACGTTTCGTGTAATAAATAGTCCGTCTTTCTTTTATTTGCCTTTCCACAATTGTTATAGAGAGATGGAAGAACCACTTTTTATGGTTAATCATTGACCAATGGTTTTATTTAGAAAAAGAAAACTGGGCTAGTAAGAAATTTGTCAAAGTTGGTAAACTTAAATATGTGTGGTGATTAGTGACCGTTAGTAGACGATTATTCAGAAATCGTGAGATGCGGTCTGGGGTGATGTAGGTTTCAGAAAAGATAAAGAGATATAAAAGATAAGAAGATAAAGAAAATGTTTTTCTGAAACCTACATCACACCAGACCGCATCTCACGATTTCTGAATAATAAACAAATATTTGAAAAATCAAAACCTGCGATGCAAATAAATAATGGAATAATGGAAAATATGTAACATATTTTATGTATACCACTTGCGTTTAAGGAAACATTACTGGATATTTTTTGGATATTAATAAAAAGATTAAGATGAGATTATGATATTGTATATAAATGTATTTGTGTTTTATTTTGTATCATCTCCCATTGCTTCTTTCATATACTGGTCATGAAGGTAGCGCTCGATACTCGTACCCAATTTGTGCGTTGCCTTTTCGAAGCTTGAGACTATTTTAAACTGCAACAAAATTATGCATAACGTTTTCTGTTTTCCATGTTGAAATGTAATCAACTTACACTTATAGTAGATATTACCATGCTTGTAAGTGCTAGACCAAGTACAATGTAAGCAAATAAAGCCATCATGTAGCCGATTTTCTAAAATATAAAAATCTATCTTGTGTATCTTTATAAATTAATATAAAGTAAAAAAAAACCATACGCTCGGAATGTAGTCACCAAACCCAACAGTCATTGATATAAAAACGAAGTAAAGTGATTCCGTAAAGGTCCACGCCTCTATAAATGTGAATATGATTCCTCCAATGATAAGGTAGACCATTTCCACAAGAATGACCAGAAGTATCGGAACATCATGAACGTCTTCCTCTACGGAGTCTATAGATTTTTTATCTCTATAAATGTATCGTATTGCAATTAGTACAGTATCGGTAGAGAACAACTCAAGAGGCATTTTATGTAACACACTTTTTCCCACAACATTTGCAATTAAGAACCGTTTTAAACCATTTCCACTGCAATCTTAACATATTGTACATCGCTGTGCCCAACGTTGCCATGAGTATCAGGAAAAGAGGTATACCAAACAAAATATAAAGCACAGTTATAATTTTGCCAATAACAGTTACCGGGACAAAGTAACCGAATCCTTAGACAAATTAACAATTAATTAGTTTGTAAAGTTGTTTTATAATATCATCAGTACCGATAGTAGTGTAGGTTATTCCGCAGAAGAAGACTGATCCCAAATAATTCCAATTCGGAACATCTCCGGGCTGGAGCAGTTTGTTGTTGATATTGTAATATTCCCATAAAAAATCGTAATATGATTCCAATTCTGTCTGAGACGATGCAGCCGCGCCTCCTCCGTTTTTATGATTCTGGTTTTAAAAAGTTAAACAGACGAAAAATAGATATTAAAAACAAAATTTAAAACTACTAAGATTTTGGTCGTATTTATTTTGGTATTGTAGACTATAAAAACAAATATCTGTTAAAGTTATAGTAGAATTGATATAGTTTATTTAAATACAAATAATTAATAAATACAAATAAAAGATCTAGTGTTTTGAAGAAGGAATAAGCCCTTTGTTTAAGTTTGTTTAAATAATAAAAATTTCTGATATACACTTCATACGTGTTGACTCAAACCACCCACAGAAAATGGCAGATGTAAAATTAATAAGGATCAGACATACAAACAAACATTTCAACGTACAAATAATAAAACCCAGTATACAAAAACAGCTACAACTTGGGTTCAATTAACAACTAAAAACAAAAACAAAACGACATTTTTGAAACAGAACAATTTTAAAATTACATATGAAAAGAAATATAAAACTTAGTTCACTTAAAATATTTCCAATTAAAAGAGAGCTGAAATGCTCTTCTGATCATAAATAAATATAGTACCTGATTTTGATAAGATAATAAAGAGGCCAGTATAGTCTCCAGTAACCTACCAACATAAAAAGCTACATTTAAAGCTTAAGGAGGAACTTAAGACTAGAACCTTGTCTACGATACCTGAGGCATCATAATCCCAAAATTCAGATTTGATAAAAAATTCCAAATTAAAATATCCAATAGAGCAAAATTTGAAAAAGGGGATCCCAGGCATCCCGACGATATCGGGTGGCTAGATGACCGTAAAACCGAATGTGTGTCGGGAGCTGTTATCTACGGCAATAAACTAATGACTATAATTCATAATAACTTTTAGCAATATGCCACTATCTTCCAGGCGGAGACTGTTGCTATTAAACCTGAGCGGGGGTATTACTCATAAAAGAATAGCCATCTACTGGACCGCCAGGTGGCACTAAAGGATAGTGCATTACGAAATCGGTAGAACTAACATTGTTGTACTAACATTATGTAACATAATGTCCCAAAGCTGTTTGGTCCTTCCTTGGTCAAACTACAAGGACAACTACAAAATTACCTTTGTGTCCCAAGATATACAGCGCAACGTGGTGTTGATAAAACAATCAACGCAGGTTGAGATCCTACACCTGGTAGAGGGAAAGCCAAAACCCAAAGAAACACGCGTCAGCCCTTAGCAAAGATTTGGATCTGGTAAAACGCAGTAAGCATAACGAAGAAGTTAAATTCACTAATTCTTCCGTGGTCCACTTGACCAATTAATACATTGCAATTAATTAAGGTTTTTAGTTGAGATGAAAAAAAGTTAATGGCACGAGCGGGATTCGAACCCACGATCTTCGGCTTGATACGCCGCTGCTCTACCACTTGAGCTATCGTGACCTCGATCCACCTGGACATCAACTTCCCATCTCAACCTCACCTTATGAGTTTTCCCTCCTTTTTGCCATTTTTCAAATGTCGTGTAATCGGATTGGATTCTCGACGACAAATGAAATGGCCACGGAGAGTTTTAGTGAAGTATACTTAATTTAAATTCATTAAATTCACTAATTTCGTGGTCCGCATGACCAATTAATACATTACAATTAATTAAGGTTTTTAGTTGAGATGAAAAAAAGTTAATGGCACGAGCGGGATTCGAACCCACGATCTTCGGCTAGATACGCCGCTGCTCTACCACTTGAGCTATCGTGACCTCCATCCACTCGGACATCAACTTCCTATCTCAACCCCACCTTATGAGTTTTCCCTTATGAGGTCACGATAGCTCAAGTGGTAGAGCAGCGGCGTATCTAGCCGAAGATCGTCGGTTCGAATCCCGCTCGTGCCATTAACTTTTTTTCGTCTCAACTAAAAACCTTAATTAATTATAACGAAGAAGGTTTAATTGGCGATTACTGAGATGCGATGTCAATCGATAGTCTCTCTCTCTCTCTCTCTCTCTCTCTCTCTCTCTCTCTCTCTCTCTCACTGATTTTTTTGGAGATAAATCTAGTACAGTAATGGCAGGATTTTTAAGACCAGAAGAATGACTCATAAAGGGATTTTACAAATATTGCTATGTAAAAGTATACAGATGTTTTGAAATGAGCTTGGGTAAAGGCAAGCCCAGCAAAATTGAAAATATATCCATCCTTTATAAAATGTCAAATTTCCTTTAGTTAGAAAGATTTTTAAATATAACGACTGTTTATGCAAAATTCACATGTTTAATTTGCAGTTAAATCGGAGAATTTTACCCCGATAACTCGCCAAAAATTTAAATCAACTCGTTTACATCAGTAGAATGTAATGCTTTATTACCTGAGCCATCTTTTCTATGATGGCCATCCTGCGATCAAAGATTTCGTGCAGTAGCTGTTTTTCATATATGCCTTCGACTAGCATGAAAACGAAGGCTCCAAGTAAGGTGTACAGCGTAATTAGAATTATGAGTACGAGTTGGATGAACCCTCCCTTGGAAACGCTTGAAAGAGACTCTTGAAGGTAAAGCATTAATTTTTCGCTTGTTTTTAGTTTGTTCTTGAACGTTTCTTTCTTGATCTCTAAATTACAATCATTATTAGAAATGGAAATGGCATTTTATGGATTTTGTTTTCGACCTTTCAGGATATTTTCATGGGCGGTGATCAAATCTGACTTTTCATTGGGGTCCACCGCTTTATTCAGCTTTTTGTGTGTAAATAACCATCGTTCCCTGGCAATTTTATCATCGGGGTTGATACGAAAAACTGTCATTCTTTGCCCTTTGGTGTATGTAAGCATGCGCATTCTGAGATCCAAGTTCTTCCTCTGCAGGGTTTTAGCCTGTTCCGTCAGTTTTTCACATTGATTCGTCGTGTCGTCTAATACTTCTTCTATACGAGTCAATAGATCACGGATTTCGTTAATCGCCTCGATCTTTTTTTTAATTTCTCTAGCCTCCTTGTCCGGTCTTAACACTTCAACGAATTCTTTACCCCTGATGGCTTTGCAAGGTGCGCAAAGCCATTGTCGTGTCTTTACAACGACTGCATTCATCTCCTCGATAGTAAGCGGTGGTGTGAGGCAATTTCCATGGAAAAACTTTTCACAATCGTAACAGACGAAACCCGGAGCGAAAACAGTCAAAGTTTGTTTACATACGGAACATGAACCTTTGAAAGACAACATTACGAATTCACGGTGAACCACGCAGATGAGAATACAAGGATAACAAGATAACCCAAATACATTAATACATATAAGACACTATTTTGCTTTTTTTTTCAATAAGTCAACATGCATTCCTTACATAGATATGAAACGTACTAAATCGAACAGATGCTTATTAATTCAGATTTTGAAAAAAATGTAAATATGCCGGGTTCGAGCGTAGGGCCATTGGATTCGAACCCGGTATCTTTTCATTACCGTAATGAGCACAGTATCATCGCCTAAAACGTTGGAGCCCCTCAAGCTTATTGGTTCCTAGAATTTTTGCCACAGCAATGTTTTTCTTTATATTTATTACTAATAACCAGGTCTAGACAAACTAAAGGAACAAAAAGTGTCGCTCAAACCTATTAAATTATACACAAAAATGCTTAAATGTAATGAGTGAGAGAGAGAGAGAAAGAGAGAGAGAGAGAAATGTTTTGGAGTAAATTTCTATCTAAAAATTTATGGATGTCCAACTTGTACAGTGCACAAAAACACCGCAAGTGAAATAGGTTAAATACAAAACTTAAATGTATATGGTAAGAAGAGTAAAGAGCAAACGCATCATCATCACAGAAAAATGTTACTAACGACTCTAATAAAAAATGTGATGATTGACAATGAAATATACCGATATTGAAATAGATAAAGTGTAAGAAAGAAAGAGCGCCCGAAGGATTCAAGGAGAACAAAAATAGAGATAGATTAGATAGGTAGGTTAATATGTGGATGTACGAGAGAGAGAGAGAGAGAGAGAGAGAGAGAGAGAGAGAGAGAGAGAGACGGATGTCTCCGAGGGAAGATGGTTCGTCAGGATTGGCTTTTCTTACGAAACCGTCATTGGGCTAATAAAGGAATGCAGGTCTTCACATTCAAAAAACTTATATTAACTGTTTTGAAATCTTTATCTAAGCCGAAGCCAGGCACTTTCCCTTTAAACCTCGCCCTCTCCATAAAAAGTTAACAACAGTCTAGCCCACTCGTCAGTTTTACAAACTAAGAACTGACGCATTGAAAATCCAACTTCTAACTCACCACTGGGCCCTGGCCAGTGACTAACTCTGTGTCCAACTGACCAGGGTCACTCAACTACTCCGTACTCGTGTCAACCACTGACCAGGGACTACACTTTTGGTAGCACCCACCTTTTGCAAATCTACCCAGAGGGGGGCCCTACGTAGTTTTCTTTCCCTTAGCAGATTCTAGCCTCTGTCTTCACCATTTTGCACTTCTTTAGCTTTCGTTTGGAGGAATTCTCGAGCGTACAAGGAAGATACAAAATGTACTGCTTTTACTCTCACATATCCTCATTTTATTCTACAGCAAATAGAATAATCTTTAAATAACCAAACGGTTATTGAATTTGTGTCGATTTACCGTAAGTTCTGAATTTAAAAGAAAGTTGAAATAAAAAATTAATACAATTAAATCTCATTTTTCTAATTAACAAATATTTTAAAACAAATTATATTCCTGAAAAGCTTTTCTTTAAAAAAAAAAAAAAAAAAATAGCCTTCTCACGACATGAAGATAGGTATGGGATAAACAAATGTATAAATTTACTTTTTTTAAACCAGTTTTTCAAGCCTTATTTTTTTTATTTATGTATTCGTATATTTCTACTTTTACATGAAAATTTGTTCCTTACTAAAGATGGCGTAATTTGGAACAAGCTCGAGTAACAATTGAACACGTAAAAGTGATAAAGACTAAATAAAGTGTTCAAGTATCTATCAGTTTAACATAAATTAACTTGGTGAAGTTGTTGATAAGTAAACGGTTTTAACTAGTTATGTTAACATAAATTATTTAAAAAAGAAACAATTAAATTATTAATATTATTATTGAACTCTGGAAATCACGTAACTACTTGGCAGTTGACCTTCTCCACCTCCTATTTTCTTCAGTTAATCCCAAGCTTTCAGTTCTGGAAATTTCCGTGCTCAATTCGTCCACATACGTTTCGAGCGTCTGCCCAATTTTGGCGCTCGTTTTGTTCATAGTCTCCACCATTTTTTCCTGTTGAATGACAATAAAAATAAAAAAAGGCATAAAGGTTTCGAGCCTCGTTTTTTCCTCACCCTCACGACGTTAATTGTCATAGAACTTAACGCCAGACCAATAAGTATGTAAAACATGGTAAATATTAAGTAGACTTGATTCTGAAAAGAATTAATTTTAGAGCAATGCTGTAATCATTTAAAGTAATATTTTCGGGTAGTATTACTTTGGGGACAAAATCTCCGTACCCAATGGTTGCCATAGACTCGAACACAAAGTAGAAAGAATCGAGGAATGACCATCCTTCCCAGAAGTGGAATAGAACCGAACCAATTACTAAATAAATTAGTTCTATCACTAGCGCTACCGTTACAGGCAAATTAACGTCTTTATTAACTGGTCTTTCCTCACTGTCGCTAAGCTACACAAATAAGCTATTATTCAAAATATAGTAACAGTAATGATAGATTGATCTATGTATGTTTAGCGGTCATAATTGGGCATATTAATTATTTCAATTAATTATTATTTTTATCTAAGGTCTTGGTTGAAATGAAAAAGTTAATGCCCAAGACCTTCGGCTAGATACGCCGCTGCTCAAACCACAGTCACGATAGCTCAAATGGTCAGAGCAGCGGCATATTGAACCGAATGTCTTGGGTTCGAATCCCACCCGTGATAGTAACAACTAATTTAACATTTCGTCTCAACTAAGACCTTAAATAAAAAGAATAATTAATTGAACTACTAATAGAGTTCAATCTCAGTCCCAAATATATTAATGTAATTATATAATAAATGTAAAAAAACTTTACTAAAATTTGGCTGAAAATGACATAGTAATTGAGCAAAAATAACTTTAAAATTTATTACATTAGGCCAAATATAAAATCTTATGTTAAAATATTTTCTTTTATAATAAATTGTGCATTTATTTTATGAAATTAACACAATTTGTTTAAATAATAAATAGTGTTAGGATTAAAAGCTTTGAATTTGTTTTGTTTAGAGTCAGACAGTTCAAATGCAAGGTTTAATTTGTTATTATGATTTATATTGATTCTATAACTACAACTACTTTTTTGACCGATTATTGTTATTAGAATAGATTAGAAAATTTAATTTATTTTTATTTCACGTTTCAAAATTCAAATTTATATCGACCAATGAATTCGTTTAAAAGCGTGTCTGAAATTGTTGATACTGTGTACAGACATAAAAATACCATTAAAAATACAAGTAATAAAGTTAAAAATTTGTTGTCACCTTTTTCTTACAACATTTACTGCAATTGTACCGCAATAGTATATTCCACATGCCTTTTATCCAGCGAGTAAGAGCAGTACCGAAATCAGCGAGGGCGAGTAAAAAGAGAGGAATTCCTATCGTTGCATATATGATCACCGTTATTTTCCCAAAAACTGTTTCTGGGTACATATGGCCGTAACCTGGAATAAGAAAAAAATATAAACATCCGTTACTTGACAAACGTTTTCATAAAGCCAATGTATTTCTTACTATATTTTGTAATAATAGAAACCTATGGTTGTATAAACGGTCCCGCAGAAAAAAACACTCGCAAAATATCCCCATTTAAGTTCATCTTCTCCTCGTTGCAGTTTGGCTTCCCATACAAGCAAGGATCGCACGTCTCCTTCGAACTTTTTCAACGTTACATTTTTGTCCGAATCCTGAAAAGACAGTCTATAATTTCAACTCTTTAAACCCTCAACGTTAGACCAATACCCCTGCTAATAAAGAAGAGTATTCCGTGATCAACTGTTCTTTACCGTGTGGAGTTGCACTCAAATCCTTGTCCTTTTCTAATAAATGGAAAATGAGTCCTCCAACACAAGTGTATATAATAACGCAGAGAAACAGGCACAGGTGGGTAAACCATGTTTTGGAAAGTTTTTTCAAATGCCCTTGCATAGTAAAAGCAGCCCGTTCACTTTTGTTAAGACCTGCATACTTAGCAAATGTAGTAAAATCTGAAATTGAAAATACTTTGTTAATATAACATAAATACTTTTAAGTAATTATTTTTAACGTTATAACGTATAGAGGATAACCAAGTAAAAATAATAATTAAAAATGATATTTTTCGAAATAATTATAAACGTTATAGAAACTCCATAAATGCCCCACTACAAAAAAGATAATTGATAAGCACTAAAAAATCTTGATATATTAATGCGAAAATAAATTTCATTTTCTGGCTTAAATGATAAATTATCGCCTACATTGAATGAAAGATTTAGAACGTCGTTCTGCATAATTTATCGCTGTATAATAGTTTTATTTTTTTACTGTAATATTACTAAGGGATTGGAATTCCCATTTATTACAATTTTGCACTTAACAAATAATCATATTGAAAATACGTAGAGACAAAAAGATTGATTTACATACCTTTTGTAACAAGTTCTTCTTCTTTCTTCTCTTCTAAATCTTTTTTTTCAGTAGGTTCTTTTTTATCTTCATATTTTAATTTTTCCGCTTCCTCTGCTTTGAGAGTGGCTTTGTGTTTGGTCATTTGATCAAGCAATTCGACCTTAAATTTGTACGCTTCGTCCAGCCTGTTCAGCCGCTTTGTTAGTATCAGGTTCTCATGCTGCAGAAATTTGTTCAGTTTGACTAAATTATCATGTTTCTCCTGTAGTTGGTCTAAGGCCAGTTCTGCCAGCTCTAGCAACTCCCGCACTTCGATTATCATGTCCATCCTCATCGAAAGATCGATGAGGTCATCTTTTGGTCGCATAATCACCGGGATGTCCTTTCGATCCTTTTGGCATTTTTTGCACACCCATTGAGGATCCGTGATAGCTACCGTTTTCAACTCACGTATTGTCATAGGGGGTAAGTGACAGTCTGCGTGAAAAGCCAAATGGCAGCTGGCGCACACCAATCCGGGATTAATTGCTGTAGTGTTTCTCCTGCATTTTCCGCACCTTCCCTTAAAGTCGACCATTTCGCACTCAGTAAGTACCCTTATTTAAGAAATAAGCAATTTCACATTATTATTTCGAATCCCTCTAAAATTTTAAAGATGTTGAAAATAATAATTGGTTCAAATCATATGATTTCATTACCTCTTGAAACAAATTGATACAGTGAGATTTTTTTAAATTGTAAACAAAGCTAGAGTTTTTCGATTTTTGAGTCACCTGTGTTATCTAGACCTTCTGTTCAAGTAGGTTTCTGCCGCCAAGTATTCAACTTATTTTTATCAACATTTTTTTAAAACAATTTAAAGGTTTGATCTTCTAAACTGGAAACCAATCACATCCAGGTTGGCAATACAAGTATTATTTTCATTTTTAAACATTTCAACGTAAAATACTGAAGCCAATGTGAATCCGATCTGAGAAGATAACTCTATTAATAAGTTTTTTTTAAAATAATGCTATGTTCTTGAAATAACATTCATTACATACATATGTTGTTAGCTTTTTTTTAAATAAAAACAAGTTTGTTTTTGATTGGCCAAACTTATGTAGTGTAATGAAATAGGCTTGACATTCTGTTTAAACGACCTAATAAATTCTTTTATTCAGAGAATATAGGTTTTTACAAAATTCGTTTCCCTCCTCGTATCAGACTTTGGCCCCACCCAGTTCGAGTGAGTCCCAGCCCTAAAAGGAGAAAGGGCTCAAGGAAAGGGAGGTGTGGAAAAGATTTTTATTCAGCGTGAGAAATGAAAGTACACTGTCTCTTGGGAGATGAATATTCCAGTTTTTTTAAAATAAACTGTTTCATTGGCTGGATCCATGTTTCCCACCACAATCTAGGAATTGAGCTCTAGCCGAAAAAGTAGATCTGACCATTTGTTTTGCACCCTCCGGCCAGTGGTGTGACATCACTCTCTTCTCAGCTAAACCCTCAAGTTTTATATAACTGTCAATCCCTAAATAAATAAGTATAATTCTTTCTAACCGCTGATAGTCGCTGATAGTTACACCCCAATCCATAGTATTATATTTGAACAATTTAAACAATTTAAAATACATTTATATTAATTCCTGCTTAATATTCTTTCATTAAACCCTTCATCACCAAACACCTACCTTTTAGAATAGATAGAATAGAGAGAATAATAAATATAATATAAGGGGAGAATATTTGTATCTGTATTTTTAATTTTTATCAAATTGGAACAGATTGTTCAGGTTTCAACTCGGTCTTGGTTAACACTCTTTTCTAATCTACATATTCATTTCATCAATGTAAATATCCAGTGTGTGTCCAAATTTGGCACTAGTTTTATCCATGGTATGAATCATTGTTTCCTAAAAAAATGTTTTTTTAACAAATATATGGGCTGGCAGGAAATGTTCTTGGTTACCCGAACGACGTTCAAAGCCATAGTTGCAATTGCTAGGCCTAAGTACAGGTAAATCATGTATAAAAATAAATACCAATTCACCTGTAAAATAAAAATAAAATACCACATGGTAATGGCTATAATTGAAGAAAAAGAATGTTTTGCAGCCTGGATAAACATGAATTTCAGTTATGTTACTTAAGTTACGTTACTTGTGGAACGAAGTCACCATATCCGACGGTAGTGACTGAAATGAATAGGAAATACATGGAATCAAAATATGACCAAGGTTCCCCAACTGCGAAAAAGATAGCACCAACGACGAGGTAAATTAGCAGGACTGACATAGCTACAACTATGGGCACTTTGTCGGCAGATGTGTTTATACTTTCCATTTGTTTTTCTTGCTAAAACAATAATTAAAATAAAAAATATCTATTTTATATAAAAAATAAAAATAGTTTCCAATACTATTTTTAATAAAACAAGGAAAATAGAATTTTTGTGTATTAGTAATTAAAATAGAAAATGAACTATAATTATGACAAAATTAGTTTTAAAAAAACTTCTGAAAATTTCCATTTTCTACATTTATCACTATACCAGCCAGCTACTAGTGCAGTTTGTATCCACCAAACAAAGCCAGCAGGGAACATAGAAAATTACTTGAGTTTATAGAGGAATATAAACAGATTAACTGTCTAATAAATAGATCCTCATTAATTACATCTGTTTGTAAGTACTTTTGCTACAATGCGAGTTTTAATTTATTCTTTCGGTTGGCAAGATGAAACAATGTCTATTTTTGCTGCTTAATGATACTTGGGTGCCGCAGCCGTTCACTTTTAAACTGTCTACATAAACGTTCCCTTTTTACAAGGCAAACGATGACTGTTGAAAAGTGAAATTTGTGTAAAAATAAAATCGAAAGATAAAGAATAAGAAGAAAATAAATTAAATATAGGGCTTTAGACGCCTTGAATAACAAAAAGTACAAAATTTGGCACAATTCATATCAAAATGATTATATAAATAAACTCATTAAATTCACTAATTTCGTGGTCCGCTTGACCAATTAATATATTACAATTAATTAAGGTTTTTAGTTGAGATAAAAAAGTCAATGGCACGAGCGGGATTCGAACCCACGATCTTCGGCTTGATACGCCGCTGCTCTAACGCTTGAGCTATAGTGACCTCGATCCACTCGGACACCAACTTCCCATCTCAACGCCACCTTTTGAATTTTCCCTCCTTTTTGCCATTTTTCAAATGTCGTGTAATCGGATTGGATTCTCGACGACAAATGAAATGTTCGAATTCCGACAAATTCGAATCCCGCTCGTGCCATTGACTTTTTTATCTCAACTAAAACCTTAATTAATTATATTAATCGGTCAAGCGGACCACGAAATTAGAGAATTTAATTATTTAAAATGAAGTATACTTCACTAAAGCTCTCCGTGGTCATTTCATTTGTCCTCGAGAATCCAATCCGATTACACGACATATGAAAAATGGCAAAAAAGGAGGGAAAATTCAAAAGGTGGGGTTGAGATGGGAAGTTGGATTGAGGTCACGATAGCTCAAGTGGCAGCGGCGTATCTAGCCGAAGATGGTGGGTTCGAATCCCGCTCGTGCCATTGACTTTTTTATCTCAACTAAAAACTTAATTAACTGTAATAAAAATAAACATTTAAATGTAATAGCAAAAACCAATAAATGAAACGTACTAAATTAAATAAAAATGGGGAAAATTAACTATATAGGTAGTAAATTGTAGCAACAGGAGGTAGCCAAAAGGACGGGATTTAAGTGTTGAGGCACAGCGAATCGAGTTAGGCAGGGAATTCCAGAGGTTATAGGAACCTGGATTTGTAAGAGAGTGGTTAGAGATCAGAAGGGCGAGAACGAGTGTTGCGAGTGTATATAAAAGCTGTATAAAAGTTAAATATTAACAGATTACAAACATTAAAAGATTAATAATGATAATTGAATATTCATTAACAACCATCTGACGGGAAATCAACAATTTGTTGGTGATTTTAACCTTGATATACCTAAACCTTCTGCTCACAGTTATACAAACTCAATAATATCTAATCTATATTAGCCTTCCTGTCCGACACATGTTCCCAGTCCTTAATCGATCTGTAAGTCAGTAATAATCCTTATGTATTAGCAATTTTCAATGCTTTGATACTCCATCCGATTCTGCTCGTAAGATGATCTCTGTAACAGTTTGCATTCCATCCTTCAAGTTTACTCCTCGGTACATCGAATGTCGTAAATTATATCCTATTTCAGTTCTCTGTCGTTGAATCCTGTTCCATATTTAATTGGGATCCCATTTTCAATGTCACAAATGTTAATGAAATGTACTACTAAATAAAAATTTTCTTTTCGTCTTGAACTTAGTAGCTCCTTTTATGAAGATTAAAATTTCCCACCCTGCTATGCCTTGGTTTTCCCACATGGTTAAACTTGCTTTTATTCTTGTGATTCATCCTACAACAAATGGAAATTCACCAGGGATCCATTGGTCCTAGCTAGGTTTAAAATGTTAAGAAATAAAGCGATAAATCTTAGTCCATAAATTACTTTTCTTCAAAAGAAATTGGAAACTAGTTTGAATACTGTTTGATATTTTGCGTAGCGTGAAAGTAATGCAAATCCGTGTTTTATTTATCTTATGCTGGTTGCAGTTTCAATATCCATAAATCACAGGAATAAGTTCAAATTGTTACCCCGTCAATCGACTACTATCTTAGATGAAGACATTGACGTCAAACTGTCGGAACTGTTTCTTGTAGAGAAGAAATTGTGGCGATATTTTCAGGAGGCAACACTAGCATTCAACGGTTTTAATCAAATAGAGTTAGAGATCATTTTGAACAAATATCGTATCAGAATTCATACTTATCACGTCTGTATCATCTGAAAACCTGGCGCAAACTAAGATTGCGAGATCGTGAACGTTGCTCATAAACAGTAAAGGGCCCAAGACAATTCCTTGTGACATCCTAGATGTAATTGACCTGGGCTGTGAGATACCATGATTGTACTTGGCTGTTTATGTGAGATTCGTTACATATATATGCTCTTCTTTGAATTTTCAAAGTAATCCATCGTGCCATATTTTGTCAAATGCGTTTTTTCATTGTCCAGGAAAACTTCGACTTATTTGTTTGTTTTTTTTCGCCTAGGAATCTAAGATACTCTCCGCGATAAGCGGAAACCGTATTGTGTGTCAGTTAAATAACGAACTAAAGAAATATTTGAGGTGGCAAAATTACTCTTGTACTTAAAAGTTAGGCAAGTTGATTGACTAAGGGTAGTTAGTTCCATTTATTTTGGAAGTGCTTAGAACTTAGTACTGCATTATGTATCTCTGGAGTGGGAGTGCTTTGAGTAAGTTGTGATATCATATTTTGATTGCGTATTTTAAGGCGGTAGTTGCACTATATTTTTCTGCTGGAGATCTAGTTGTTAGCCATTGAACATTGCACGCTTTCTTTTACGCAAAATTACCCGGGTTTAACTGTACACTTGTAAAAAATAACATAAAAGAGTTATAATATAAAAATAAAGTAAGGTAATATAAAAACTAGTAGCAGCTAAACACCAATAGCTACCTGTCGATCCAAAATTATTTAAACAAAACACAAAACAAAATTTTTAAGGAGGGTATTTCAACTACGAGGTTATTTGAACCCTCGGGGTACCGGTGTTTTTGAAAAAAGCCCATTCGTAAATATAAAATATTTCGACTCCCGTTGCGATTTTTGGATGAAATATGACTGTTTTATTGAATATAGACAGTCAGCTATCTCGTTTTGTATATATTGTAAGAAAAAGTATTTATGCATGTACATATAATATGCAATGGGCTAGTCTTCTCCCAGGAGGTTTGACACACGGACACTTACTTTTGTTTGCCACGGACATAAGTGAATTAATAATAATAATATTAAATTGCCTTTATTTATATTATTTGACAATATGTGTTTAATCTGGATATATATGTTTAAGCAGGCTTTTCCCATTGTCAGAAGACCGTCAGGGGAGGTATATATAAATAGTATAAGCAATAAATGTTTTAACAAAGGAATAGAATGTAGTATTAATTAACAACTTATCTTAACACTAGTTTAATGATATAATTCATGCAAAAAAAAAAAATAAAATGAATAAAAATAAAATAAATAAATTTAAACAGTAGTAACATGTAACAGTTATACATAGTATAATATAATAAATACATAAATAATAAATATATGTCATTTTACATGCTATTAAAATTGCTCTAATAAATTGTTCTTTAATATTAAGCTAAACAGGTGTGATGAAAATTTAATCATAATTAAATTCTTGTATTAACCTCTCTGTATACTTCCATGCCATTCTACAATACCCGACTAGTTCGGTCCAGTCTTTTTCTCCTCGTAAGTATACAAGAAACTCTTCTTTAGTTAGAAAGCACTTTCCAAACATCAGCATTCTAAATTCAGAGAGAATTGAGCAGTGGGCAATGAAATGTGTATGCTTTCTTCTTCGTTTTCATTGCATAAAGAACATACCTTATTGATCTGGCCAAATTTGTACATATTTAGATTTAATAATTCACATCTTATTTTCATAAACCAGCTTGTTTCAAGGTTGTTGTTTGTGCGCAGGTAAGCATTACAATTTAGGATGGTTTTAAATTGGGGGTGATATAAGGAATTACACGCTTTCTCTACGTACGAGTTTTTTATATTGGCTTCAACCTTTTTCATTATATCATTGAGTGTTTGTTTTGAGTTGAGTAATGCTTGGATAGAAATACCATGTGCCTTTTCAATTTTGCTGTATTCCCTAAAGCAGAGTAGATTTTTTTCCCATAATTCTGTTGATAGGTAGTGTGGGTATCTGTCAGGGGTCAACTTGAGGCATCTAATTATATAACTGAGGTGTAGTTTTGGTGTATATAGGAAAATAGGTGTAGTTTCTAATTCTAGGAAGAGCATATAGTTAGGCGGGTATGAGGGTAGGTTTGGAATTCTTTTGAGGTAAGATCTTTGCACTTTTTCTATAATATCTTGGTAATTATATCCCCATACCTGGGCCCCATAACACAAGGTGGACCTGCATGTAGTATTAAATATAATCATTTTAGATGCAATAGGGATTTTATTGTTTAGGGATATATTTCTCAATGAGTTTATTACACATTTTGATTTTGCCTTTTTGTCTTCAAAATATTTCCTTAGAGAAGACCCATATGTCAGAATCACCCCCAGGTATTTGTAGGAATTCACTACCTCAATTTTGTTTGCACCGTACCACCAATTCTCGTTTTTCCCTAATTTGCCTCCATTCCTGAAAACCATAATTTTTGATTTTGCCAGGTTTACTGACAGTTTCCACGGGTTGCAATATTTTTCTAATTCGTTTATCATTTTTTGTAAGGTACATTTATCGGAGGCTAATAATACAATATTATCTGCATATGCTAATAGCGTTATGCATTTACCTAAGATATTGATTCCGCCCTCCAAGCTATCTTCAAGATCATTTATAAACATGGCAAACAGCAGGGGACTTAAAACGCAACCTTGTTTCACGCCTGTTTCTGTTGCGAAGCTCATAAGTGAATTATTACGACTTTTTTCTTGTTGATATCTCGTCTTGTGTTTCTCTTGTGTGTATATATATTTTTTTCGTTTTTTTTTTTAACGAGGATTCGCAACACCAGGGGTCATATCAACCCTCAGAGTTCCGGTGTTTTTGAAAAAAGCCCATTCATAAGTTTGTCCGGGCCGCAGGGCCCCTGTTTCGAACCCGGGACCCTTACCTTTCAGAGAAGAACGCCGTGTCAACCCCTAAACCGTTGCGGCTACCGACGCTCCCTCTTTATTATTATTTGTAGCACGTTTCGACACTGTCACCAAGTTAAATTTTTTTGTAATTATTGTCTATGCATTAAATAATTATTGAATAAAATAATGTTGTAGCATAGTTGCTTGTCTTAAAAAGGTGGCTTGGGAAAAAGTGTCCTTTCAGAAATAATTTAATGGTATTATGAGATCTACAATTACAATTTCTGCTTTAGAGCAGATAACTTTCGTAGTTTTATTAAAATAGTTAGCTGTGTTAAAAAGCCAATTTTTATCATTGTTTTCTTTTCTAAATTCGATTTAACGTTAGCTTATATTATTTAGATTTCTTTTCTCATTGTTCTTTTCTCATAAATAAATTTGCATATTTTCTATTGCAATAATTCAAAAAGTACCTCATTGTTGTCCACCATTTCCTTGCGGGACCTTCTGCCGGGAAAATTCCAGATGTATTTTAGAGAACGAGTTAAAAGTGCCCCAAAATCGGCGAGAGTGATGAGGAACAACGGAATTCCGATGGTCGCATAAATAATGACAGCGATTTGTCCCCAAGGTGTAATGGGATATATTAATCCATAGCCTAAAATAGTGGTGGCATAAGTCAGAAATTCTGATTAGGAACTCTATTGAAAAGTTGTATTCTTACGATAATATTTTGTAATTTAATAAAAACCTATAGTTGTGTAAACTGTACAGCAAAAAAATGCGCTGCTATAAAATCCCCAGTTAAGTTCGTCGGGTCCTCGTTCGATTCTTGATTCGTAAGCATGACGTTTACGGACGATTGCCTCAAATTCCTGCATATCTTTTATTACGTTCTGTTGATATTCGTTTGTTTGATCGGTGCTGTTAAATGACCCGAACTTTTTAGTATTCTGAAAGAAAATCGATATAAAAAGAAGGAAATAATCGTAAAATTAATAAAAGTTGAGAAAAAATACGTTATCCAATCTGGACGAGAACTCTTTTGTCAAAGCCGCTTTATCCATCGGTTCATCTAGCGGAATATTTCCTTCTAACAGTTGAAAAATAACGGCCCCTATGCACGTGTAAATAATAATAATAAAAAATAGGGCAAAATGAGTAAACCATGATTTTGACATTTTTTTGATCTTCCCTTGTAGTATGAAAGCCCATGTTTCATTTTTTTTCAGGCCAGCGTATTTTGCAAATGTGTTGAAATCTGAAAAAAACCGATGAATCCAGGCACATTATACTCGTTAGATTAAATTCAAAGCTTTTGTACCAACCTCCACTGACACATTAACTAATTGGAGAAATATTAATTTGGATACAATTTTAAAAAAAATATTTTGTTTGAAAAAATAAAATAAAGTTACGCATACGGTTATACCTTTTGTAACATTATCCTCTCCGGTCCCCGCCATTTCATCGCGGGCTCTGGCCATTTTTAAAGCATTTTGAATGTAATCTACTTTCACCGTCGGAGCCTTTCTTTGTGTGATCTTTTCTAAAAATTCCACTTTCATTTTGTAACTACCGTCTAAATGAGCAAGTCGCCTAGCGAGGATGAGATTTTCCTGGTTCAAAAATTTGTTCATCCTGTTCAGCTTGTTATGTCTCTCGAGCAGGTCGTCCAAGCTCATCTCCGCCAGTTCTAGGAGGCTTTTAAGCTCTTTGATTATATCGAGTTGCCTTTGGTTCTCGACTATTTCCCTTTTTGCCGCAGTACCCTTTAGCGTTGACTTTTCCACGTTCCGGAAGCATTTCTTGCACAACCAGCCCCCCTCGGCGAGCGTTTTCATTTGAAAACTGTCGAGCGGAGGAATCAAACATTCTCCATGGAAAACTTTTTTGCACTTGTTACATATCAACCCGGGATTCAAAACGTTAGTCTTCTTTGAACACTTAAAACACTTTCCTGATGTGTCAACCATGTCAGTTTTATTATGATAATTCTAATCAAAATACTTTTACTATAAGGAAAATAACAAAACATATGATTTTATCTTACAAGTCAACAACATTGACAACTAGTATTAAGTTTATTTCGTTTATATACATGTACAGATGATGATCTAGAATTGGGGTTTTTGTTCCAAAGCAATGTAACCTTCTGGCCTATTGTACTTTCCTAGTTTCTTAATCCAGTGCAATTGACTCGATCCATCTTTTAAGATAACTAGGTCATTGATTGTCATGCTGCAATTCCATTCCATCGGTGTTTTTTTTCATAACAGGTCTCTTGAGCGGTTGATTTGCATTTAAAGATTGACATAGGTGGCTGTTTATTCCTCCTCACTGCATAATCTATAAATGGATCATCATTGAGTATGCCCATGTTGTGTAGGTATTTTCTCAGATGCCAGTGACTGGTACATAGACCTATCACTCCTTTCAGTTTAGCCCTCTCTAAGTGTAGCAGTGAGTTTGCCAGTTTTAGTGAGGGATGTTACAAGCTTACAGTGTAAGCACTGACTTACATTTTATATATTTTTTTCCCTGAGAGAAGGGTCAACACTCAGCAGCGGGAACAATATTCTTACTTAGCTTAACTTACTGTCTAGCCATATTCCGAGAAATTAAACTGATGGTGACCAATGCTCCGGGGTAACCCTAACTCGGGCACTCTCGACACGACACGCAAGAATTACACAGAAGACTAACACTTTGAGCCCTGAAGATGATCTCAATAAAGATCGAAACGTTGGCACGATAAAGAAAATGTTTTTCTGAAACCTACATCACACCAGACCGCATCTCACGATTTCTAAATAAATAACCCTAACAATAACCTCCGTGTTTATGCAAGGTCTCCGCTTTGTAAATTGGTCTTACCAAGATTGATGCTTATTTTCCACTTTCCAAAGGACTTTTCTATTTTCGTAATAGCATTTTTTCGTTTGTTCACAAAAGCACTAACACACCTCGGCAAAGTTGACAACTAGGTCCTTTAAAAACCTAGCATTTTTTGTTTTTAATTTATTAACATGAGTGTGCTTGTTTAGTCTGCTTGTAATTTTTAGTTTTATACTTTTTATTATACACACATCAGTTCAAAATGGACTTTGGCCTCCCATACTTTTTTCACCTGAACAGTTCATTCTCAGCGTCATGTCATCGGGTCGGGCGTCCTCCTTTCATTGTTCCAGGAAGAATTCTTCCCTATATATATCTTTTTACTAATACGGTATATTGTACATAAAGTTGCTTCCTTCTTGATTCCGAGGCAGGGAAAAATTCAATTACTGCATTTTTCCCAAGACGACAATATTATCATCACCATGTTTGGTATGCTTTTACTAATGGATAGTCTGTGAAACATATAACATTTATCCTCAGTTTGCTGCCCTTAGTCGACTTATTCTTGCTAACTAAAAACATCCCATTTGCGTTCATACGAATTCAGTGCGAATAAAGCAATAATAGGCAGATCAGGATGATCGGGGAGGATCAAATAACAAAGAGATAAGCTAAGAGATTTCACATTTTTAAGTGATTATATAAACATATTCATTTATAAACTAATAGGAGAAAAACCATATTTTTATGTAAACTCATCATCAACACTACAATAATCCATATTTGCTTAGTGGTCATAATTGAACATATTAATTATTCCATAGGGTTTTTAATTTTAACTGACGACAATAATTATTGTAAAATCTTATCAAAATCTTTTTTTAAATATTATTTTGTAAACATTACTACAATATTGTTTTCAACATCAATTTATATTTTGAAGGCTTGTTTGATGCAAACAACATATAATCATAATGGAACACCTTAAAATAATTCTACACAAACATAAAATGTTCGTCTAAAATCAACATATGCCACCTTCTTTATTAAATCTTCATTACAGAAACATTCTATCTTTTAAAATCATGAAATTGAATAATTAATCTTTTTATGTAAGGTTTTGGTTGAAATGAAAAAGTCAGTGACACGAGCGGGATTCGAACCAACGACCAGTGTTAGTGAATTTATACTTCGTTTTACTCATTAAATGCATTATATTTAGTGATCTATTGACCAAATTACTTCTTTCAATTAATTAATCTTTTTATGTAAGGTTTTAGTTAAAATGAAAAGTGGATCGAAGTCACCATAGCTCAAGTGGTAGAGCAGCGGCGTATCTAGCCGAAGATCGTGGGTTCGAATCCCGCTCGTATCGCTGACTTTTTATCTCAACCAATACCTTTCATAAAGATTAATTAAATGAAAAAAGTTAATGGGTCAATCGGACCACGAACTGTAATGGATTTACTAACCTTTACGTTGGCTGTTAAGAATTTTTTCCGGCAATTGATCGATTCTCCAAAACAGCGAGAATTGGTGGACCTGAATAAAGTGCCGACTCTCCATCCACTTACCTTTTTACAATGTTATATTTTATACAGGGTGAGCCACTTTTGTCGCACCATAGGGAAAAAACTTTAGTTACCTTCAAATTTGACTAACATCTATTTTTACACAATTTCAACTCAACCTCAGTTTTCACTCAACTGTGTGTGAAACTGTGTCTAAAACTAACACACCCTGTATACTATATTGTTATAGTAATTTCGGTCAGAGATTATTTTTTAATGCTAATTGAAAATAATAGCACAGTAGAAAAAAATTATCTTAGCCCCAATGTATTGTTTTGTCTACTTTGACTGTACATGAAAGCCAAAGAAAACAATTAGTTTATATANATATATATGTTTGTTTGTTGTTAAACCTTTGTTATGGTTGTTGGTATCGTTTTAGAACAGAATTTTCTCAGTTGTTGCAAAAACAAATTGACAGTTGTTACTATCCAGACTTCTTTCTTTGTTGGAAGAAGAAACAAAGTAAAATAGAAAAAAGTTAAAAAACAAAACCAATTTATTTCTTTATTTAAAATATAAACGAATCCCCGTTGGCTATGTACAATAAAGAAGATCGTTGATACAGCCTTTCAAGGTTAAAAAAGCAGTTAAAAGGCCACAAGCGTTCAGTGTAAAATCACAGATAAGTTCTCGCCAAAATAAGATCCAACGGCGAAACGCTTATTTAATTGGAGGTTTCTGCACTACCGAGTTGTCTCCAAGCAGCCTAGGATCGATCTCCAATTCGAGGCCAACTTTCCTACCTAATTTGGTGCTTGCGTGCACAAAAGAATCCACTAGTTTTTCCTATTAAAAGTATTTTTCATGTAAAATCTTTTTTTTTAAATAAACAAATTTATAAAAGAAAAAGTACTTACTCTTACAACATTGATACACATTGAAGTGAGCGACAGGCCAAACGCTAGAAAAACCACGGTGGCCATCATATTCTTCCGATTCTGGAAAGTGAAATGTTTTATTAAGATCTCTCAGGTTAACAGGCAAGCACTCTCACCTGTGGGACAAAATCACCGAAACCAATTGTCGCCATGGAAACGAAAACGAAATAAAATGATTCGAAGAAAGTCCACCCTTCCCACAAGTGGAAAATGGTCGCCCCGATAAAAATGTAAGATAGAAGAATGAGAAGTGCAATAGAAACGGGAAGATTGAATTCGTCGTCTACTTCGAAAGTTACCGTCGGCGATGACACAACTTCCTCATTTTTGACAGCTTCGAGATCCTCAATGTCATACCTGCTCGCCCTTCTTACCATCTCTTTTATGCCTTTCGCTGCCCCCTATTATTTCAAGTAATAAAATGCAATACATAAATATTTGTTAACTACTGTTGATCAACACACCGTATCTTTGACGTTCTTCCTGATTGTTCTGCAGGTCCCCGTGTAGTAAACGCGTCGTACGAACGACCATAAATATTTAATAGCACGGGTGAACATTTTTCCAAAGTCCGTAAGGACTATGAGAAAGAGAGGTAGGCCTATTACAGCGTAGACTATCGACAACGCTCTACCTTTCGTCGTTACCGGAGAAATGTGTCCATAGCCTGAAACATTTAACGTTAGAAAAGGGTTAAATTTTTATTTTGAAGATATTTTAAACAACCTATTGTTGTGTAAATGGTACAACAGAAGAACACGGAACTCCAAAAACCCCAGTTGAGTTCGTCGCTTCCACGATCCATTTTGCTGTTGTGGTTGAAATTTGACTGGACACTTTTTTCATAGACTTGAAACGCTTTCGTGACGTTGATTATAAATTCCTTCCTATGTACAGGTGACTCAAGGTTAGGTATTACATTCACCAACTATAATAAAAAATATGAAAGGTCAATGAGAGAGGTTCGTAGTTATCTATCAAAGCTATCAAATGTAGTACGATTTAAAACCAAAAGTTAACATGTTAAAGTTACTTTTATGCATTGAGGTTTGGGAGTAGATATAAGATAACAAAGACACCAGTTGAGAAAATATTCTGTCGTGAAACTTCAACATGTCTAAAATCCAGCGGGGATTTGGATCTGGTATGGAAAGAAAACAAAAAAGTCGGTTTCCTTCAGCAATTTGTCGTTAACAATCCGTCTTGCAATCTGAAGCGAAGGTTTACCTGCCTGACATAGCCAACGAGCTCTTGCCTCCCTTCGAAGACGTCCCTTTTTTCGACCGGGTCGTCGTTCCCTTCGATCATTTGGAATATGAGCCCGCCGAAGAGTGAGTAGCCGATCAAAGCCAGCAAGAGGAAAGTATGGGTGACCCCAGTTTTAGACAGCTGAGTCACCTTTTTGTAAGCCCACATGTACAACCTTTCTGGCAGGTTGAGACCGTACTTTTTGAAATCTGTAAAAAAAAATATCGATATATATCGCGATCCGTGGTCATGTTTTTTACTTTATTTACTTTACGACTTACTTCCGAGCATGTCTTCTTGCGAAGCCTCTGAGCTTCGCGTCGACCGTCTCCTCCTTGGTGGAATTTTCAAGGATAGATTTTTAGCCTTCCTCTTTTCCACAATGCTTTTCCTTAAGTTTAAACATGAACATCTTTATTATTTTTTCTTTTCAAACCTAATAAATATTAAACACAATGCCAATAATATGCCAAACAAATTCACTTGTCAACGCAGATTGTTTAAAATCATAAACGGATTTTACATGTTGATTTTTCAAAGAGAGACGATATTTTATCGAATTTATAGTTTATTAACTAGACATTGTCAAAAAGGTAGCAAATAAGTGGGACATGGGGGCTTTTAACTTATATGACACCTGACAGTGATAAACGCGGGTACTTGTGCCGACCTATTATCAAATATATATAAATATAAGCTGGCATCACTTTACTGGCATCCTCTTAAAGGCGAGAAAGCAATTCAATCTGAGTCATCTCTTTTAGAATAACGGATTTTAAATCTATCTCCCCCCACGTTGCACACGTCTCAGTGTTCGATAAAATGCGAATTGGCGACTTCATTACTCAGAATAGGCGTTAACGATTTTGTTGGGCTGATCTTGGACAAGTCCCAATTCCTTAATCTGCTTAGAATAAGCAAACGATTGGTTATTAGTGCCTGCCGGTGATTAAAACAGTCAGAATGTTGTAATTTTTTCCCCAGACAAAAATCAATAAATACACAAAATCTAATCACGTTGTGACTACTATGAACAGCCTTCCTCATTCGTTTATTCTTCTGCAGCCTCTATTTTCAGGACTATTCCCAAGGCCGGAACAGAATAGGAATGGAGGAAAAAAGTTAGCTTAAGCGATTGATAAATGTACAAGTGTTTGAAATATTACGAAGAAAGATATTTGGTTTTTTAAATATTAAATGCAAATTTTAAATCGTAAAATAGTAAAAAGAATGTGAGAGAATAGTGAATAACTTGTTATTTATTTATTACATTCTGTTCTCCATAATGCTTACTAAACCAATAAAACCGTATTAGGAACTTTCACTTTTTTACAATGATGTACTGATTAGGGAAATCTGCTTAATTTTATAGCTCAATATATACTTGAAGCAGTTAATTAATAATAGAAATTATTAATATTGCATTATAGATAATAGAAATTTATTTCTTTTAAATTATAGCAAACTTGATTTTAAGTTTATTTTTAAACAATGGTTAATTGCCCAATTCAAAGGTTCATATATAATTTCTTTTTTTTGGGGGGGGGGGAGTATCGATGGCGACAACGGTTTATGCGTTGACACGGCGCTCATCACTGTAAGGTAAAGGTCCCGGGTTCGAATCCAGCGGCCCTGCATCATTCCCCTGTCAAGAATTCTCTACTTTATTAAACAAACGGAAATCTTCCAGGAAAACCATTAGCAGAGATTGGAATCAATAGACGAAAGTTTTAACCCAAAATGGAGAAATCCAACCGATTCCAAAAGAGGGGGGGGATAAAGAAAAAGAGGAGTTTATCAATGTCAGCACAAGTTAATACTGGGGTATTTTAGAAAATAGGGTTTTTTTTCTATTTACAAGATCAAAAACACAGAATGAACTTGAAACATGAAGAATTGACAAACTGTTCATAATTCATAACTGAATTCTAAAAAAATCTTGTTTCAATGAAAAACTATTATTGCAACAAATATAAATAATGTCTTATCTCTACTAACCTCAAAGTACAATTGGAAGTATTTAAAACAGTCGAATCGCAAATAATTTCAAGCGAGGGTAAGCCTTCAACAAGCCACCTTTCACTTCATTTTAATTTTAACAGTCAAATTTAAATAAATAATAATTGACTTTATTAACTCTAAAAAACACTACAGAAGAATAATTAGTCAATACGTACCATAAATAAATTTCTAATATCTAAAATGATAGTTGAATTGATCTTTAATACAAAATAATAAATAATTTCCAATAACTTTATGTATACAATTTTATCTAGCAAGTTGACACTTAGCCATACACTTAGTTCATTACCTAAGTTGAGAGATATAAAACGTGGTGAAATAAATTAAATAGTTGATCAAATTTGAGTTGCAATCGTTCATTAAATTGGCAAAGGTGGGTACGTTATAATTTTTGCTTAAGTTCACTCTCATACAGAACCGAATTTCTATACCCCTAAATTCTTTTTATTGAGATTTGCGAGGTATGTTACAAGTCCGATGACAAAGGTTTGCAGTTCAGGCAGAAGTTGTCGCATCTAGAAAAAATTATTTGTAAAACGTCCTGAATAAGTCTTTTGTGTATGAGCAGATATCTCTGAAGTTGTGTTTATAGTGATGATGGTTTATGTGGATTATGTATAAATCGTTTTGGCTGTCGGATCATAAATATTTGTATCATTTTTTTTTTTTTTTTTTTACGAGGGTTCGCAACAGCAGAAGTCATATAAAGCCTCAGGGTGCCGGTGTTTTTGAAAAAAAAAAGCTCATTTGTAAGTATGTCGGGTTCGAATGCAGGGCCGCTGGATTCGAACCCGGGGCCTTCACCTTACAATGATAAGCGCCGTGTCAACGCCTAAACCGTTGCGGCCACTGACGCCCCCCAATATTTATCATCATTATTGACTTTTTTTATTTCAAATATATGGAGTATGGAATTTTTTGTCTAATTCTTCTCAGAAACTTATACAACTCAATAAGTCAGATTTTAAAACTTGATCTGGACTTTCCAAACATGACAATGACCTTGAATCATTGTTGTTCATCAGGCTGAGGTCTAGGACCAAATTAGTGCTTTAATCCTTTCTTGCAGAACGAAGCACAAAACAAAAAAAAATTGGCAACGGTCAAAAACAGTCATATTAGAGAAAACAACCACCCAAGCGGAGTCGTTTATATTTTAATGGTGGAAAAACTTCTATTTTATATAAAGCAAGCACCCTCTCGGCGCCGGCAGACTTCGGGTAATGAATTGCCCTAGCGTTTTCCAGTGGAAAGACGACACCCCCGGGCCTAAGCTTTTCTTACCCGCTTTCGAAAATGTAAATCTGGCCAAAACTGGAGGAAAGAAATTCCTCGATACAGAAAAGATACATTACTATGTTTTATCGGTGTCCTGAGAAGCTCGTAGTATTTCACAGGATGGAAAATATATAGTGGACAAGACGCGTATTCCAATAAATTATAAAAGAAGAATTTCATGTCATAACTTCTTTAATTATACGCAGTTCCGGCCGGTCTATTCTCGCAAGAAGTTTAAGTCAGACGTGTTATGTCGATCGATGAAACAAAGCTTCCCATTGCATACAAATTTAAGTAGGACAAACAAATTTTAACAAACAACTTAGCAACTAAGTTTTACTTTTCTTTCTTTAGTATATCGCACTTACAAAATACGTTTACTGAACTAAACTCCTCAAAAATGAATAAGAATATTTGTAATTTATTCTTATTCTATTGATTATGATTAAATTAACCGATATAATCTTGTTAGTTGGATAAAACAAAATAGAAAATACAAACCAAAAACAAAAAAATTTTAATCCTCGCTTTTAATAACAGATTTACTTAAGAATAGTAACCATGAAGATTACTCATTTTGTAACAAACACTTTTTTCGTCTCTTCTCTATTTTAACCCAGCTGTATTCCCTTTAACCATGGAAAGACATCATTTTGAACCAGAAGTTCGAAATATTATTGTGAGAATGAGTTATCAACAGGCTTAGAAGAACCATAAGATATGTGGAGTCACAGAATCCAAGTACGTGATGATGATCTTTGCGAAACACGTGGAATATCAGAAGATCTTGAGAACCTCATTATGACTTGCAGCAAATATGTAATATAGAAAAACACTAATGGGCACAGTTTACAATATTAGGGGCTTGGAAAAACCAATGAATTAAAAGACTCCCTTGGGCTCTGGGGCGATTGTGGCGTATCTTCGGGCTAGTAATATACGGATTTAAGACATCATAGTAGGGCGGGTGAGGGCGGCATCCTGGGGTGGTCGTTTCTGTGCCGGCGAGTTGTGGGGGCTGGATTCCTGAGCATATTAAGCTCCATAAGTCTGGAGGATGTGCACTTTTCCACGTATCTCGGTGTAGTTGTTTTTATTCACATCTCCGGACGGACCGTGAAAGAGAAAATCATAAAAGGTAAGCCTTCCTCTTCCCGGGGCCTGTTGTGTCTGGGCTAGGCCTCCTGGCGTGCCTGTAAATGCACCCGTCCTAAAACAATGTCTGTAGAACAAAGCCACATTGTTTAAAAAAAAGACATAGAGGTCACCAGCAAGTGGATATCGCAGAGGCAGTTGGCGTTTCTCATAGCGTGGTCTCCCGGGCTTTAGCACGATTCCGAAAGGCTGGAAGTGCCAACAAGGAGGCCAGGTAGTGGATCTCAGCGCATTAAGATGGTAAGGGAGGACAGAAATATTGTCTTTGCCTGCAAAACGGAAACCTTTCCATAGTGCTCGCCAGATCCTAAATTAAGAACAAGAGTTTTGGCAAGGCCAAGTTGGCCTCACTACATATGCAGCAGCAGCCCGCCACCAGCAACTCAGGAGAATACGGTGCAGCACCAATTGGAATGCTGTTATGTTTATTGTCGCGTTTCTCTCTGTATAGTGATTGCAGGTGCCGAAAAGTCTACCGAGAAGGAGGTGCGTTCAATGCCCCAGTTCGTGCTCCCTTCAGTGCAGTTTGGAGAAGGCGGAATAATAGTCTGGACTGGGATTTACACTTGAGGACGAACTGGACTCCATACTGTCGAAGACAACCTCACCGCAGTCCGTTTGGTCCAAGATATTATCGAGGAATACATCCTTCAAACCAGAGATCTCAAACAGGGATTTTATGTGACAATGGATGGCTTCATAAAGGCAGAATTGTTCATTAATGTTTAGAAAACCTGGGAATTTTCCATCTATCCTTCTCCCATTGTCTCCAGGCCTCAATCCCATTGAGCACATGTGGGATGCGTTGTAGAAAAGGCTTTTCGATCACCGTCCACAGCCGATTGACTGCAACAACTGAGTGCAGCGTTGCAACATCTATGAAAGTGATTATGAAATTACTGATAACTTATTAACATTATGCCTAACAGGTGCACAGAGGCTTTAGCTAACAGAGAACATTATACAAGGCATTAATTGTATTAAAAAAATATTGTCCCAATAGACAAAATGATTGAATTAAAACTTTTTATTTTGTTATTTTTCAAAATCTATTATATATTTGTAATAAATTTTAATGCAATTTATAATAAAAATGCTATGAAAAGTAAATATTACAAAATTGGCAATATCCCTATTCATTTTTGAGCAGTTTACATAGACTTTTCTATTTGTTTCATTTTTTATTGTAGTAACCTATTAACTAATTCACTAATTGGGCACTCTCAACACGACACGCAATAATGGCACAATTACACAGAAGACAAACACTTTGAGCCCTGAAGATGCTCTCAATAAAGATCGAAACGTTGGCACGATAAAGAAAATGTTTTTCTGAAACCTACGTCACACCAGACCGCATCTCACGATTTCTGAATAATTATCGATTAACGGTCACTAATCACCACACATCGCTATTAACATTAATATTAGTTCTTTCAAATAATTAATCTTTTTATGTAAGGTTTTGGTAGAACCAGCTCGTGACATTAACTTTTTCATTTGAACCAAAACCTTACATAAAAAGATTAATTAATTGAAAGAAGTAATTTGGTCAATAGACCACTAAATATAATGGAATTAATATTTGTGTTTTTTTAGTTCATAGAGAAGTGGTCATTTCAAACCTAAACACTTTTGGCCATTTCTGAATTATTACAAGCAAAATAAATTAGTGTACAACTGAAATCACTCACTGCGGATAGATCGACGGTGGAAATGGGTTCGGGACGAAAGGGAACGGCGGCGTTTCCGGCCCTTCCGGGTCCGATTCTTCCAGTTCCTCAACCTCGAACGGTCCGACGTCATAGTCGTCCGGGGAGACCTGCTGGTACGAATGATAAGTTGTCGAAGGGGTTTTCGAATCCGGCAGGTTGAAACGAATCGAACATGTCGTGTAGGTGGATCCTGACCGGTCCCGAGCCCGGGAGTCCAAAGATTCCGTCGAATTGGGGAATCGAAGGAGGGAATCTGGAGAACGTGGCAAGTGCGAGAGTTCTGGATCGCTCATTATTTTGTTTTCCTTTTATTAGTTATATTTCATCTCGCCACCTTCAAACAAAAGAATATGATTAATTATTTCATAATATATGGTAATTATCAGAACTTTGGTAACCTCCTCTTAAGCGGATAAAACCACGTGGATCTTTTCTTAATTTTTGAGGCAATTTTTTCTATTACATTGTTCATTTCAAATATAATCTTTTATTATTAAAAAAATTATAAATTCAATTTGCCACACCTTCCTATTGGGCTTTAAAAAATCAATATAATAATTAACAAGTTTACAAATATTTCTGATCTTCATGGACAGAATGGGCGTTTGATCTCGTTCACTGCAAGTTCAATCCTTAATTTCATTATGCTTGAAACCATAAATTTAGCAAGTTAAGTTAGCATAGAAGTTTATATTTGTTTAACTTCTAAATTATAAATAATAGAGGTATTCAAGATGTTTGTAAGATGTTAACTCGTGTTAACTCGAATAGAGAAATGGTTTTAAAGTCCTCTTGAAGAGGAATATAACACCAAAGCTGTACGGAGATATTGGTCGTTTTTAAATTGGCTTTATCCCTGATTTTTAATGTACAATTATAATATCTGATATTAATTGGAGATAAAATTAATAAAACAATACACAGGCAAAAATATGACAGAAAATGGTTAACGATATTAGCATGGATTGTGTCAAGAGATTTCTTTTATGGCATGCTAACTTTTTTTCATTTTCAACACGATAAACATGTATGTGTAGGCTTTTTATCAACATAGGCAATGTTTTTCTGCGTGAATATTATTAACATGGATTGTAGGCTATTTGCAATTATAATATGTGATGTTCGACCATGTACCAGTTAATTAGTAAAACGATGGAATGGATAAAACGGTAGGTACGCTTTATATCCCATATTTATATTTGTTGTTCAATACACTACCACGCCTTTGGGAAAATAGTATACGTTAATCAGACCTAACAGCTCTAATTAATAATTAAACAAGGCCAGTTTGTTGTTGTGATATATATTGATTAATAGGTTTTTATTTATGTACTTACAATGTACAAAACAGAACATGCATATTATGAATTCGTAGTTTTTTCGGTTTAGACAATTTAATGTACGCATCACTGAATGGTTTTGTTTATTTTTACAACAAAAAATCATTGGTGACACCTTTCAATTCTTTCTCTTTGAAAAATATTTATTTTCAAACACGAATATTAGTTTCTAGTTTGTTGAAAATTATCGACAAGTAAGCCTAATTCTTTCAGAAGGTGATTAATTTAATTTCATACATTTTTATTTCTGAAGTTGATTATAATGGCAACCTAGTTTTCATCAAAATATTAAGTTTTTTTTAACATAGTCAATATAGTGTTATAAGATTTTTGCTTAAGACAAAAATCCCATTTTTTAAATACATGATTAAGATGGGTCTTCTAGAACATGATATACATTAAGTCTCAGTTTTATTTTAGTATATGATTAATGGGAAGTCATGGAGGTTTTTTTAGAACGTGAGTAACACAGAATACAAAGTTTTTTGTTCCATGTCTTTATTTAACAATTAAAACTTCTATATTCCAGGGCTTCGTAAGAAGTTAAGAAATTTGTCTACCAAGTAAACACCAGATATGCTTACAAAGTGAGCAATTAAAAGAAATGTGCGAAAATTCTAATTTAGATAGAACACAGCTAACGTAGTCCTTAATAGCATGTCTTTTGAAATTTTGGCAGACGTTGGACATCCATCCAACATTTATTTAATTTCAACTCTCAAAGATTAATTTCGCAAAAAAAAACTTGTTGTCGTCAAGATATAATAAAAATAACAAATCAGTATAATTTGATTTATTTCAACTATTTTGTTGTGCCATTATTTTATTTAAACTTTAAAATAAAATTCTCCTTTGCTGTGGAGAATTATATTGTTCCTGGTCTTCAGGCATGCGTTTATATTTACTATTTGTCATAAAAGTATTTTATTACTGAAAAAAGAAAAATAGAAACGATTTGTTTTCTAATAGTTTTAATTTTATATTAATTTTTATGCCAAAAAGATTAATATGAAAAATGAACGTAACTAGTGGAACGCTCATTTTTCATATTAATCTTTTTGGCATAAAAATTAATATATACATAAATGGATAATTGATTAAGATAATTAATAAGAAAAAATAATTTTATGTGATGATTTATGGAAGAGAACATACACAACTTATTTAACGGCTAGTTATTAAAAAAATATACTAACTTTTATCATTTTGGGTTTCTATGTATAAAAAAAATCACTACTCTAGTATCACAATACACTTGGCATTTCGCCCACTCTTAAATAAAATCTATAATTTAATTTCATACATCGCGGAATTTCCTAGGATGAAAAATACTAGGAACGAGCAAAAGTGCAGCAAGGTACTGGCGGCGGAACTGTAGAAACACCAAGTTCCGTCTGTATACGAGACAAAGCGAGACCGAACGAAACTTGCCGATTCTGGCACATCCTGGGGATACGGGGCACGGGCATTGACGGACCTTTTATAAATACACATCTACGCGAGGGCAAATAAATAAACCCCTTTTCTCCGACTTTCGTAAAACGGCCCCAGGGCCGTTTGATATTTCGATAAAAATCTTTGATCACTTCGTATATCATAAGGAAAACATAATTTCGTTTATACAGTTCAGAAATATTATTCCCCCCTTTTTGATGTGAATAAGTGGTATTTTAAGGGCAAGATTGACTAAATAGGATCTTCGGCTCTAATTCTCTTCCCTTGGCTTTCATCCAATTGAGGATTGATTAAATGTTTCGATATGAGCCAATCTCCACTTTAGTAGGCTCTTTTACATTTCAAAATTTAAATAAACGACACCCAAAACCATTTAGTTTCACCAATGCCTTCATTTGTCTCAAATGTACTGAATGTCACTGTAAGCACCATTAACCGTTCATTGTACCTCTTTTTACAAATGAGAGTAAAATAGGGTCAAAATATTTTTTGCTTTAACTCAGAAAAGCATTGTCAATGCTGATCCTAGAACAAACCAAAAGACAAAAATCAAAACCAATAAGAATAGTGCAACAACCAAAGCCAATGGAAACAAGTAACCTGTAAATTTAAATACCTGATATTTTCAGATTTTTTAATATCACATCATTTACTGAATATTAGAATGAACACCTAAGATTGCACTCTCAAATTTCTGTTTCGCCAATTATGACAGTCAGAGATCTATGCTGTCAGTGGTGATCTCTTAATAAGCCAACTGATCTGTTACAATCAGACTGTAAATTAAATAAATTTAAAATATGCTTGGGCACAAATGTAATTAAAATATCTCAAATTATTTGTACCCAAGACCATGTATTTCCATAAGCATTCTTATCTCTAAGTTTTCATATTTTGAGATTGAAAAATGACGATACACTCAAACAGCAGTAAAGACCTTCAACGAACCAACTTGAAGATTATTATTGCCTATATATATTATATTCTGTTAAACAAATTAAAAAAAAATATTAATCCTACTTTTGTAGTCTCATAATACCTATCTGACTGATAACTATTGCTAATTGCTAGTATTGCTATACTAAAACACATTGATTAATTTCACTACTTTCAAAAGTTCTTGGTTCTTCAACTTTTCAAAGATCTAAGCTGTCAATTAGACCTTACAATTTATTGTGGCCTCATTTCATCGACCTCCTAAATGGAGTATTAAAGCTGTGGCCCACAACACCCCACCGCTATATCAGACCTTACAAAATTCTGTTTTGAAAATGAACGCTCTATTCAAAAACTGTTTTGTGCTGTTATCCGGGTTCTCAAATTCTCATCGTCAGACTTTTTATTCAGTCCGGTGATGAGCATTTGTGGGATCAAAATCGGGATAACTACAAAAAACAGTTTGTGAATAGAATCATTGTTTCCTACCAATGAATTTTATTAAACAGATCTCAAATTAAATGTGTACAAGAAAAGTATGATAGAAATACAGTGATTTTTAGGATATTATTTTTTTCATTGATAACTAGCCCTTTTAGGGATGGTTAGTTATATAAAAAATCTGACTTAAACTTGATAGAGGTTTTTAAAAAATTCTTTTTTTTTTGTTTCTTTCTTGTAGTCATAGTTTCATATCATCTAATGATTGCTTTCATTACGATAGAACACACTGTCACATTACTCACTGTTTTATCATCTTTGCTATCAAATTGTCATAAAATTATTATAGGTTGAATCAGAATTATATGACTAGCTTTTTAAAGAGTATTTAGTTTTTTTCTTTTACTGGATTCAATCCCAAAACCCTTACTTTACAGTGATAAGTGCCGTGTCAACGCCTAAACTATTGTAGCAACCACGACAACCCATAATTCAATGTTTAACTTTAAATTGTGATATATTATCCAATTTTTATTAATAACTTCTTGCCTTATTTCCTTTATGCTTATTTTAGTTTTTCAATAGTTTTAGTTTTTGTTACAAAAAAAAACTTTCTAGTATTAAAACAATGAAGTAGATATATGGTGATTTGATAGCCAAAATATCAAGGAAATAAAAAACTTTTTTGATCAATGCACACATTATTTAAGTTCACATGTGAATAAAGCTCAATATTTAGTTCTTAGCCATCAAAAGAATTACCAATCGGGATGCAAAAAATATTATTAAATTACGAACCTAATCATTACACCAGTATTCTGATTATATGGCCATTGAATGACCACCTTAATCTCAAAAAGTTTGGATTACTGGTCGAAGACATGACTAAATCATCAGTGTAATTTTAAATATATTTTAAAAATATCAGACAAAACTAATAATAAATCATAACACACAAAAACTGAACTTCACTTTGAATTAATATTTTATGGGCGAATTTAGAAGATAATTTTTATTAAACATGACTGGATTTTTTTTTAATATATACTTACATGTGTGTGTATTGTAAACAATAAAGGATCGTATTTTCTACATTTTCTAGGTCACAAACAAAAATAAAAAATAAATTTTAATTTTATTAACAATAATCCCCACAGACATTTAACATCGTATTTGGAGTTTCACGTATATCCCCATGTAGGCAAATTAACATATAATAATAGTATACATTTTAAAAAATTTATTACTTTTATTTGTATGTAATCATTTATCACAGAATTACTCAATTAATCACAGAAACTTTGGATTGAGCGGTTGGCCAACTTATGAGGATATTTTGACGTTTCATCTATTTTACACATTCACACATATGGCAACTATGATTCAAATTAAAACAAGCATATTCATCATATTTTTCATCATTAGTCTGTAAGGATAGATAAATAAAATGCATGGTGTAAGAAATATAAAGTTGCAAAAGGATTGAAACAAATGCAGACTAATAGAAAAAACTCAATAAATTTAATGCTTGTATTTATTTGCTGAAATTCAATTCATATTGTTAGCGCGTTTTTGTAGACATGCCTCAAGCACGACCAAAATTACTATTAAATTGACATTTTTCAAGTATAACCGTCACTGCTTCGAGAAGATTGTTAAAGATTGCATCTGGTTTTACTATATGTCTTTCATCACTTTTCCTGAACTTTCCTGTCCTTACTAATACACCCCGTATGCCACATTTTTGCGCCCCTCCAACATCATTTTCTATATCGTCACCAATCATTACAACCTGAAAAATAAATGGAAATCAAAGACCGATCAAAATTTTAAAGTTGGTGATACTGTACCTCTGATGGCTCTAATTTCATGTCTCGTACGGCTGAAAGAAAAAATTCTGCACTCGGTTTTCCAACTATTCTAGCTGTAACTCCTGTGGCGTATTCAATTCCTTTTGTAAAAGATCCTACATCCAGAGCAAGACCGTCATCATCTAAATAATACTTTCTACAAAAGGGTTCATGATAGAAGATTAGGAAAAAATAAAACTGAAAATTTAATGAGTTTAAATTACCCAATTCCTAAAGAGAATAATGAGGGATTATCCATTGCTATCAATTTCCTAAAACACTCATTAAGTGATTCATACGTAAAAAATTCTTCGGCATCACCTATTACCGCACAATTTGGGTTTTCAACATCTATTCCCTGAAACTCTTCAATCATCTGTAACAAGAATTTAAGATGTGCAATATATTATACTATGGATTTAAATAAGTAGTCATGTTGAACAACACTGGGTCCATCTACAAGAGGGTTTTCATATCACTCAAATCTGTTTGGACAGTGAGCAACTGAAAATGGCTCAAAGACAAAATGCGTTTGAGTGGTATTGAAACCCACAAGTACATACAGACCAATTCAAGATATGCTCATCAACTCTCAGTCCAATATCCACACAATCAATTTGAAAACAGTAATTTTAAAAAGAATAAGCATTTCAACTTTTCTTAATTAAATTAGTTTTCCAATTGTGTTTTGATGTTAAATAATTTTAATATATTATTATTATGTATTTTGAATACATGCTTTGCATAACTCAAAAGGGACAATATAACCTGCAAAGAAAGCAACTGAGTATCACTACTTACAGAAGTTTAAAAAAAAGTTAAAAGTGAAAATGTTTGTTGTTGTTGAGTCCAATTTCAGTGAGATAAAATCACAAATAATTAAATTAAACAAAATTATATCTGTAAGTAGCATTAATAGAATATTTTATATCTAATGTATTTTTATGCATAAATCTTGTTCGTTTAAAATCATTATCAATAGCTATGTTTAAGATAACTTTTTAATGTATAAAATGTTTTAAAAAAATTTTGTATCTACGAATGTTGATAAATACAGCTGTTTGAATTTTTGTTTTTAAATGCCAATAAAACACAAGTCTCTAAAGTCTCTAGACAGGAAAAGCACTGCTTACCCTTGGGTGTACCAAGAGATGTGGCCGGAGCTCCTCCTTCCTCAAGATTTCAAGCATAGCCGGTACTGGTGAGAACATATGCTGCTCATTTATTTCATATCCGAGCAAGTTCAGTGTGTCATGGATAGTCTTCTTTGGCTTAAGTGTTTCGTTCGTTACCACACGGTACCTTAGACTACTTTTCTGCAACCTTTGAGAGCGACAAATAATTAAAGGCGAAGGCAATTCAATAAAACAATACACATTGTAAATGGTCTTTTTATTTTAGGTATATTAAAAAGTAAAGCGAAGCTTGTCATACAGGAGGGAACATTCAACCCGTTTTATTATTTTGACATTTCAATTAAAACATATTGAAGAAGATAAATATTTAGGCAAAAGATGCCTTTGATCATCATATCACACTTCCATGAACTGAATTATATCGTCATTAATTTTTAGTACCATTCAAAGATTTTATCAAAGGTTGTCATAAATCTTTGATAACATTAATATTATACAAACCTATATTTACAAAAAAGTAAAAATTAAGGAATTGTCTAACGTCAAGGGGCAATGTCTAACTACTTTCCTGTTGGGTGACAGACAAGGACAACACTTTATAATACTTTTATACTATTTTCAATTAAAAAGCTATAGCCTGTGTCAGGATTCAAACCCAGGACTGCTAAGTGTGGCAAATATGAGTCGAATGCCCTAACCCCTCAGGGTCACCACTACTGTTTTAATTTCATAAGCATCATTATAAATATTTGCAATTAATTTAAATTTTTTACACTTCCTAACAAAAAGTAACAAAGTTAAAATTGAACCAGCACTGGGTCTGTCTAAACTCACAGGTTTCCTCTGTGAGTTTTAGACGTTACTCAAACATGTTTAGGCTTTGCGCCATCTTCAGTGAAGAAGAAACCCACGAGTGCAGACGAATTTAGTAAGTGACCCAGTGCCAGTACAATGAGTGGTCACTTACTTGCAAACCAACACACCCTACTAACTATAAAATTTAATTCTTGAGAAGAGAGAAGAAGAAAAAAGAAGAAGACTGTTTTAATTAATTTTCATAGCATAAACAGGCTCTGCTGTTTGGTTTTTTCCCACTTTAAGATTTATTTGATGAAATTAACATAAGACTAAGAACTGGAAAAAAGTTAAATAATTTCAACAGGATTAATTCCATGGGCTGTGTGGCAAATACAAGTCAGACATCCTAACAAATTATGGTCCTGAGGAAAACTGGATAATTGGCAATATCTTTATGCACACATAAAATAGAACATCAATACCACATTTTTTATTAGTAGTTTTTAAAATTTGAATAATTGAAAGTATTGCTATAATTTTAAAAATGAGTGTATTTATTACATTTAGAATTTAACCCAGTACAAAATTAATACTTTCATAATCTTAATTTTGAATGTCTATTTTATGTGGATAAACAGCTCATTGAAAAAAAATTCACATTTTATACCTTAAATTAAAAAGAATGATTCATTTTTATAGAAAAGTAAAAGAATATTGTTTCCAGGTTAAAATTACCAATATATTGTAGTACTTAACAAAAGATTATATGGTTTTATAACTGTGGTGTTTGTATTTTAATAGTAAAGCTAGAGGGTGATTCAGGTATAGGACTGGGGATTATTGTTTGCCACTAGTGGTTTCTAACTGCTGCCACAGTTGATTCCGAAGTTTGACAACTGTGTATTTGAACTGTGCTTTTCTTGGTTACCTTGAATAATAACTATTTCAATAACATTATCATGGAGAGGGGGCAACAAAAAAGCCAATGGAAAGTTCGATGAGGATTGGCTATTGGCTATTGGCTCTAAATCCTTTGTGGCATACCAAACATCCAAAAATGATCTACATTACAATTAAGCAATATATTAAGAATAAATTGTTGGTTCAGAAGGAATGTATTCCAGAGCGGAGGCTTGCAAAAAATATTCATGTAAAGACCATCGCAGAAACTAACAGCAACTAAATGTAGGACGAACTAGGGATAGTACGATAGCTAGACTGGTGACTGGACACTGCAGACACCAGAGGCAATGTCAGAACAGCAGAAGCAAGCCTGCACAGGTGTCGCGAGGAAGAAAAATGAACAGCAGAACATGTCTTCTGAGACTGAGATTCCTACTCCTGGAAAAGGAAAAGTCAAGGCATGAAGGATACACATCTTGTCCTTGACAAAGCTGGACAAGACAAAGGGCTCTGGTAAAAAACCTTAAGCTTAATGGGAAGCTCTAGATAATAATGAAGATCACACAAATGACCAATTCTGGTCGCGATGCGTAAGTTGCAAAGAGGCCGACTCCTTTTTAACATTAATTATCAATGTGAGCTAAATGAAACAACAATTTACAAAAGAATTTTTTTTTCTGAACAGGGGTTCGCACCTGCAGGTCATCACCCCGGGATGCCGTTGTTTTGTAAAAAGGCCCATTTGTCCCCTAAGCCATTAACCTTACAGTGATGAGCGCCGTGTTAATCCCTAGTGTGGCCACCAACATCCCCAAATAATTTATTAAAACCGTAAATCCATTTTTTTTTTTTTTTTTTTAAATTGACACTTATTGCATACTTGTTTCTCACCTTGGTTTCTACCTTAAGATATCAGTATGGTGTCACACTCTTTATAACATCCCGTGGCAGAATATGTAATAGCACAGATCTGTCAAACTAGGGAGGTCAATTAGTCAATATCAATGCTCCAGTGCCTCCCCAATTTTTAATTGTGCGAGTGTATGAATGTATTTATTTGCATGAGTGGTTAAGTGTGGATGGGCAGGTCTGTGGTGGAATATATCCTGCAGACCTGTCAACTAGTTAGGTCAGGTATAGAATATACCATCATATACCATAATTAAGCACTGAATATGCACGCTCACTGAAAGTTTATAAGGCCTTACATAAGTCTTATAATATATTAGTGTTAAGGTGCATACACACTAAACAAATCTTGGCCAACAAAAGACAACCAACTGTTTTGTTGGGTGTAATTTGCTTAGTAGGTATGAAAGGCAAAACAGAGCCAATGAAGCAGTTCACCTTGTTCGAGGTCCAGACTGCTGGCGGTAACTTCAAGAGGTTTGACGTTGGGTGGGCCTTAAGACCCCCTCATTCACTGGTTCATCCTTCTTGTGCTGAAAACCGCTGGACTATGGATTGTTATAATGAGACTACTAAAGCTGATCGGATTTTATCGTGAATAAGGATGTTTATGGGACCCTACGAACTGTGAATATAAAAACAAATCAAAAAGATAAGACGCTCGGAATAAATAAGTGAACTTTTAGAAGTTAGTGTGAACATGTGAAAAATAAAATGGAATCTTTATCGACATCTTTGTTTTGACATTTGTTTAGATATTTTAAAGATATATATTAAGCTCGCATATGAATCACCAGAAGCTAAATATCTCAGACTCACTAATCTTTTTGTTGCAGGTACAGACCTTCTAAAAGAGGTTTCATCTTTGAAAAATTTGGAGCCTGCATAATTCAAAACAATTTGAAATCTGTAGCCTTCATTCGGAAAAAACTGTGAAATAACCCATATTCCAATTTTTAAGATCATACATTAATTTTATTCCCCATACTGCTCCCTATGCACATTTGACAACTGATAAATCGTCTTCTTCCGTTATAACTTCGGCCATTTCAATTTCAATTAAAACAATAATACATGTGAATGTATAAGTAGTAAACTAACAATTCAAAAGCGGTAGCAAATTTGACAAGTTTATGAGTCAACTGCGATTCCACATGGTCGAATCCCTTAGTTTGATGAGGATGGCCAATGTGTTGGAGACCAACGCTCGACCCAATGGTTGTCTTTCATTGTCAAAGATTTGCAGTAAGCACCATAAGCCATACTAAATATCAATTTGATTACTAAATATATTAGTATGGCTGTACTGATGATTCATAGTATGGTGAATACTATATTGATCAACTATATCTTGTAATCTGTCAATGAGCATGATAGCATAATTCACCATATTATGAATCATCAGTCCGGTGATTGTGAAAATAGGATAAATCTTGTTTTAAAGACTGAATTCGTGGTATGGAGTATGCTCAATGTTTTCAGATTGAAATTTGACGTTTGGTAAAATTGATAAAAATCTTGAAAGTAGATAATTTTTTTTTTTTAATTGCCAAACGTTAAAAAGTTTAAGGTCAATCAAAGGTCATTAACACTTTTGGTTGATTTTTACAACCTACCTGTCTGTTAAAAATAACTCAATATTTATTGCTGGTTGCAAGGCCAAAATATATAATGGAATATAAAAGTAAAATATAATTCTCTTTTGATATTTTATAGATTAAAGAGTATTTTGTATGGAGTTGATAAAAATATATTAAAAAAAGATACCTTTTAACAGCCTCAACCGACCCCCTGATCGGTATATCGCCGTCCTTAAGGACACCGCTAATGTCTAATAAAATCCCCTTGATAGGTCCTTTAAACAAATTGAAAGTCATTAGAATATTTTTTGATATGTATTACAAAGCTATAAATATTTGTATGGCAATCTACTGTAACCAGCGGGCAAACTCTACTCTCTAGTGAGTCTAGACTCTAATCTATTACGAATACCGTGGAGGGTACTCGTACTTGGGGGGGAGCCTTATCTTTTAACGTCACTGTATTTGAAGTTATTTTTTCCCCCAAAAAAAGAACCCGTCAAGAAAAATAGCCTGCTTGACAGATATTTATGTTTAAAGCTACTTCGTAGAAACTAGAAATTACTGCCTACATTTTTGTAATTTCCTCTACTCATCTCTTGTCAGTCCACATGCTCTTGCATACAATCATTAGTTTTTATTAGCTAGGAAAACAAAAAAGTCTCGGTTTTATTATTTAGTTAAAACTTAAGGCCAAATCTTATAACGATTTAAGTTTACAAGAAAATGAATCCTAGAAGTATAATGCAACCTGCAAGGGTCCTGTTTTACTGTGACTTTTTAAGTGCTCTTTCATTCCCTCTTCTGTCTCACAGTATACCCATTCATCCATGAATTTGATTACTTTCCATAGATGGAACAAAGATCATTTTCAACTTTTGTTATAGATCTTAAATATTTATTCACTATCTTTCATAATAGATTTTTTTTTTTAAGAAGAGTAACAGATTATCATTATCTAATTATCGGCCTAAAGCCTCTGTTATTGCCAAGGTCAAGGACTCTAGTTGCTTTAGTTGGAAATCTTTAGATGAGCTTTCAAGCTTGCTTAAGAGACTTGTCTCGTCCCAGTATGGTTTCCTAAAAGGCTGATCAGAACTACAAACTTTATTATAAAAGTTTTCCATTACATCCTATTTATACCGTATCCAGAGTCTTTGATCAAGTTGATAGTTTTATCCTATTGGATAAAAAGTTTCTGTGTTGGTCAGCCTCTACTGGGTTGATTTTCGTCTTTTCTAGAGGACCACTCCTTCTCTGTATCTTACACGGATCTCTCTAATAGGGTTTTGGTATAGTCAGGAGTGTTTCAGGGATCCCACTTTTTTATTATTCTTTAATGATGTCTGTGATGCTATCTCTAGTCGACAATCTCAAGATTTATAAAATTATTTCTAACTCAGGAGATTGTATGGTTTTCCAAAATAGCATCTTGGCCTTTTTTGACTCATGCACTTGTAATCGTCTTAAGTTAAACTAAGACAAATGTTATAACTTGATTTTCTCAACAAAAAAAGTTTGCAAAATTACATTTACTTACAGTATTCATATACATAATACTATCTGTGATGTCACAGATCAGCAACTTGAGTGATGTTCAAAAGCACATGTACATTAGAAAACTATTGTACTGATGCCACTAATAAAGCTCTTCGAAACCCAGGATTTGAAAAAGAAATAATCTCCAATTGTTCAGATGTCTTTCCGTTTTACTTCTGCGTAGATAGTGTTCTAAGGTTCATTTTTTTAGTACAATTGTGCACGTTTCGGTCATGCTTCATGCTCTGAATTTTTTTATGAATTGGGCATCATCTATAGCTGGCAGCATGGGCTCTCTTACAATTCACACACACTGATACTGTGTTGGAGTGTTAAGTGCAGCGATTTGGTTGCAATAATTTTTCACTGTAACCTAGTATTGGAATTTCTTACATTACCACTACCCTTCCTAAATTATGCCAACTAAAATTGTGCACATAATCAGTAAAATGATTGTACAATACAAATATTTTATTTGATCACAAATGTGATCAATGCTTAAATGTGCTGAAGATCATAATCATAAAAGAAGATTGACAGGTTAAGTAATTAGAAATCAGTTTTGACAAAAACTACTGAACCAATTTCATAAAAACAGAGAATATGTATATGTCATATATTATCATAATTATAATGCCTTACATAATTAAAGGTTTCAATTAAATTTTATTAATTGTCACATATACTTTTGCTTATACATCACACATACAGAGAATAAACAACAAACCATAAAAATTAGTCTACTATGAACAATTATTTTGCAAGAAATAAAACATTTTATTGTTGTGGTAGTAACCAATTAATTGCCAGGTTGTATAATTTAATATTATTTGAAATTATGGTCCCTTCCTAATTGTAATACCATCTCATCATTAGGCCTGAGAATTATTTTGAAAACTTAATTCTTAATATTTTATAATTACTATTTTTTTTCTTTAACCAGAAGAAACACCATTATAAGAAAAACCATTTCTTCAAAAAATGTTGAAATTGTAATGTTTAAGGATAGTAAAACCAATTCAATGCCTCAAATGATGTTTTTATCTGTATATACAAAACTGAATGTTTGTATGTGTGTAAATTGTAAAAATCAAAAACTACTGAACCGATTTAAACTAAACATTCACGCTTTTATTAGTGCCAGGTGGTCTTAGAGACTATAAAATGGACATATAACAAATAATGGGTGTCAGGATTAAAAAAAAAGAAAAAAAAGAAGAGAAATAACACTTTTTATTATCTACATACATAACAAATAATGGGTCGGGATTTTTAAAAAAGAAGAGAAATAACACTTTTTATTATCTACAAACACAATGCCTGGTTATAATAGCTAGTAATCTATTAAAAAACATGTGACCAAATTTTATAAAAGTATGATCAATTTTCAAGCATATGTATTATTTTACATCTATATTGTAAAATCTTGATTTCTTATCATAGTTTCAATTGTTTGTATACAGATTTGCATAATTTAACTACACATAAAATGCTAGATGTTAAAAGTTTTAAAAATCCTTCAAGTTGATCAATCATAAAAAATAATTAAATATTTGTGCTGGGCCTAGGATTATAAAATTGAAATATATAATTTGTCTTTAATCAAAACTTGGAGTTTTATTTTATTATAAGCTAGTAGTTAAAGAATGAGCCTTTTTAATTGATCCTGGCTGTATGTTGCCTAATAAGGACAAGTAAAGTCAAGTATAATATTTTTAAGGAAATAAGTCGTGCAATTCTGTGCTATGGCTGTCAAATGTGGGGGTACCAGAGGTTTGAAACAATAGAAAAAGTACAACGTTTTTTTGTAAGAAAGTTGTTCACATAGCCATCTGGTACACCAAACTATATATTATATTTAGAGACCGACTTGGATTTAATTTTGGTGTATACACTTAAGCTTCACTACTCCTATATTGTGAAAGTTCTGATCTCTCCCAATACTAGATACACAAAAATAACATCGTTGGCGGTCATAAAGACTAATATTTCATGGTTCACTCACTGGAAATATTTGTTTGAAAAGTACAACTTGCCCTTCCTCATATCCTTAGAGAACTTCTGTGACTGGTATAATCATTTTTCAATTCTTATTAATCAAATTAAAAAACATCACGAAGAATGCCTGTCACGTGTTCAAGCATCTACGCATCTCACACTTTACAAGGAGGTACAAATTTCTCCTGCATTGTTCGACCTACATGAAGATAATTTTGACGGTCTTTGTCTCAATGAGTTGCGATGGCTATTTAAGCTAAGAAGTTTAAGTTAAGGTTTTGCACTTAATCTCGGCTGTTTGGATCAGAGGGGAATTGGGAATCTGTTCTTTGTGTAATTCGCGCTCTATTGAAACTGTATCCCACTTCTTGGCGGAGTGCTCATCCCTGGGTGAGATTCGGTTGTTGCATCTCGGATGTTTCACTCTCCCCAGGGTTGACCTGTTACGGTTTTTGAGTGGCTCAAATTCACGGCCCTTCATTCGTTACGCTAGGCATGCATGGAACTACAGATATGAATTAATTAATAAGTTTAATTTTTGATTTCTATTGTATAACCTGTTTTTCTGTTCTCTTTCGCATTTTGGCAGTTGTTGTTTCTCCTTTTTTTTCTTTTTATTGCGTAGGCTATCACTTTTATTTTATTTGATTGTGTATTTTTTCGTTTCTGATTGTTTAATCAACAACCTCTGGCAGACGGATCCAAGATCCATGGCCTTAAATGCTTTGATATCTAAATTGTCTTTTTTCCTTCTTTTATGTTTAATAAAGCATTATTATTATTATTATTATTATTATTAAGGACAAGTAGCAAAGAGACATTTAAAAAAATATCTATAACATTCAAAGTAACAGCAATAATAAATTATAAGAGAGTAATAATGAGAAGTAATAAAAGTAATCATTATAGACATCCTTAATCTTAATTTTTTTTAAACAAACCATGTTGGTAGGAATTACCATGTAATCCTCTTCGGTGGATAACTTGATAGTGGTTAGGTGTTTGCTGTTGATGGATTTGTGTCGGTTGTTTCAAGTTCTGATACTGTTGGATGTGATGTTGTAAATTTTGCTGCAGCTGGTTCTGCGAAGGTAGATTGGAATGTGTTGCCATCAGTATCCGAGTGTAATTCTAGGTTGACAGAAAATCTTCAATAATTATTAAAATATTGTTTCTTATCTGATACGAATACAAACCAAGAATTTTGGCAATTATTCTTTAAAATTTTGCATTTTTTCCAAATCATGTGTCTAAATGACTCACTGTTCTGCCTTTTTTTTAATGTAATATTTAATTTAATTTTAATGGAAGTTTTTTTTTCAAACAAATATTAAATGGTGTATAAATAAGTTTTACAGATTCTGGGAGTTTCTCTTTTATCATCTACTAAATTTTAAGCAAGATAAATCACAAACCATGTTTTAAATTTTTTTTTTACTGCAGGTTCTTTCACATTGGTTTTTGTCATACTATTCTGAGTAAATACATTTAAATTGTTTATCAAATAAATAATTTAATTTTTGATAAGGAAGGTCATCATATTGCATTTATGCAATATCTATGAAATGAATCACAGTAATTACTCAGATATCTTTTCCATTTCCCACCCAAGCTCAATTAATCATGATTGCTTTCTAAGAACATACCTACTAATTTTGTTTAGTGTTCCGAGTGAAATACGCTCACATAAAGTGCAGCATGCGCTTGACAAAAATGGCTAAAGCTGCTGTAAGGGTATTTTTTATTACAACTTGGCTAACTAGATTCAACTAGTTAGAATGAAAGAAAAATTGTACATGTATTGGGAAAATGCTTTTTAGGACACTTTGCAATTTTCTCTGGTATTGCTTGGATTGTTATTGATTGTCTTCAAAACCTGCAATGGTAATTTATCCTATATGTTTGTTCTTTCTTGCTTTATTTAAAAAGTATATATGTATTATGTAGCATATTGCCATCTTAATGTTACACTCCTCAAATCAAGGGATAGTCCTATGGTGATACAAAAGGAAAATGGACATTTAAAAGCAGTCATGCCAAGTTTTATACAGGACAATTATGTTTTCATTAATCTCACTGGTCAGGTAAGAATTTAATTCAACCTAGGTTTGAATAATAATTTGAATGAATAAATTTTCCAGGATATTAATTTGGCTTGTCCCGGAAAAGAAAATAGATTTGATTTTATCAAAAATAATCCGGCAAACTTTAAATGTGGCACTGCTGAAAACAGAACTGTGTTTTATATAGATGGACAAGATTTTGATCATTCATTAGTGACATGTTTTGATTATTTAATTGCTTATGAAAATGAATTGAACCAAACTTGCCATGATGGCAAGGGCGAATTATTTGAAATTGGGTTCCAGGTAGGTAAATTATTTTCAAATGTTTCAAAAACTAACACAACACTTAAAACTTTTGCAGATTGACTCTCAACAGTTTTACCGAATGTACACAATTTGTTACAACATCGAGTCTGGATTTTCTTACTACGCTAAACACAGTATTGAAGGTTTTCCAGACTACCCCTCACATCATCATCATCTCCTTAAACAATTTTCAGTCATGAATCCAAGAATGGCGAAGAAATTGATTCATGTCCTAACTTTTATGCGTAGGGTAAGAAATTTTTAATACAATATTTTTATTAACTATAAATTATTGTTAGAAAGCAATTGTTTAATTTGGTTGCTACAGATCATTTTGGTCTGCCTATCCTTACTGTGTAACATATGCCAAATGCATTTCAGCATCTTGCCATCTTCAGTTTTGGGTCTGTGATGGACAAAACTTTATTTATTAAAATATAATGTAATAGCTAAATTGTGAAACATTATGGTCTTGAAGAGATAAACTAGTAGCTAGTTCCTATGTGATTCTTTTTGTTTAAAATACAAACATTTAAGAAAGAAATATAATAAATACTTTAGAAATAGATTAAACTATACTTTTTATCCTGCATTTTAACATGAAACTTCTATGAATTTAAACATTTTGTTACTTTCTATTCACAGAAGAGACAGTATGACAGATTATCCAATATACTAGGGCTAAAAATTTCAGAAAAATATTTCAGAGGGCAGAATCATTTTTTCACCGGTGTGACCCTTGTGCCACACGCAGATTTCCTAGTTACAAGCCATCAAACTGCCACCCACATAAAGGCCAATCTTTTATTCCTCTGGAAGCCAAGAGAAGTGTTATGGAGAACTCTTGAGTATAATATAAGATTATTAGCAAGAGTGAGCTAATTATTTAACTTTTCTTTACTTTTAAATAACTCATAAAAATGTTTTATTTATAGAACAAGACAATCAACATAATTACGGGCGTACTCGATCGAGCTAAAATTAATAACAATACTTTGTACATGGGACCTCAGAATTCTCTGCCTATCCACAGCTACCTATGGAAATTTGTGGCTGACCCTAAGGTAAATAAAACTTAACATAAATTAAAACCAAGAGCAATGAGACTGGTTATTTTACAGACAAATAAATGCATACTCTTCTTGATGGAAAACTTCGTGATAGATGACAATGTCAAACACAAGTGCAATTTGCCTTGTACGCAAAATGGTTGGCTAAAACATTACAAGTGGAAAAAATCGGATTATAGGGTTTTCTTTTGTTGTGATATTTCTGAAATGAAAGAAACAATATCAGATATTCCTTCTAATAGCAAATGCACATCTATATTAACATTGGAATAACATTTATTATTTTAAATATAATAATAGTATATTGTGTAGATTGTATTAGGTTATTATAATAATTTTTATAGTCTTATATTGTTTGTGTTTAACATGATCCTTGAAATACTTTCCTCATTTAGTGTTACTAAGCATTAAATTTTATTCTGTACTGTGTAATGACTTATGATTTAACAAATGCTAGTCACAGGTTTTTCACTGATAAACAGCCTTTACGTTCATCAGATTACATATCTTTTATTACAGTTTGATTTATACTTGCTCTAATTTTAAATTTTTGAAATCACAAGAAGTATGAAGTAACAGTCAGGGGGTGATGATACATGGCTTTTATCAAGTTCATAGTGGGCTTTGAAAGTGGCTCAGTTCTTTTTTTACCACTGTGGACACATCTCACCAAAAGAACTGGTACTCAGGTAAAATAAGTCAATCAAATTCTTTAATAGATTATTTTAACCATTTTGTATTAAATCTCTTCTGAACACGAAGGAAAATTATCTGACCAAATTGTGACAGTTATTAATAACAATATTTTTTTAATATTGTAAAGCCTATTGACAATTTTGAAGTTTAAAGAATAAAAAACTGAATTAAATTGCACTGATATATAGGAATATTTCACCCTAAACGTATAAAATAAAAATAATTTAATATGAAGTTGTACATTGGTCTCTCATTGAAAGACTAACCACTTAATTATCAATTATTCTGGCAGTTAATATTTCATTTTTAAACTTCTAATTGTTGTTTTTTAATAAATTAAATTAGTTAACCTTTGTTTCAGAATTTCACCCTTCCCTGCAACAGGATGTTGAAATTGTTGACCTTTCTGGGTATTTTTTCTTTCAGTAAGTTTGACAATTGTGAAAAACAATTTTTATATTAAATAATTCCTTACACCAAATAATTCATAAACAAAAGATTAATTATCAAGATATCTTTTGCCTTGAATTATTGTACATTCTTCATGACAACCTGCCTATTGTTTTATAATAGTTGTTTATAACAACATATTATGAAACAACAGGTCTCTAAGAAACAGACATTGCTTATAATATGAACAGAAACTTTTTTGCATGTTTTTTAAAAAATGAAATCTGTTGTTTCTTTGCAAATTGCTTATGTTAACTGGTTAACTTTGAGGATTGTGAAGTGTACAGGCGAAGGCCTTAATTAAAATAAGATAAAACTTTCAATTCATTACGTTTTTGTTTTTTAAAAATTAATAAGAGATTGTCAAATTAGAAACAAATTGTTGATTTTTCTTATTAGCTTTCACTTTTCTGAAAATCAATTTAATTTTAAATTTTTAGCTAGTTTAGGTTGTCTAATAGATGTTCAAAAATTAAATAGAGCTCTACACCATAAACCTCTTTATCTGGAAAGAACAAATGATGGTTTGAGATTGGCTTCTCCGACATCGATAAATTGGAGGGTCGTCCTGGATTTCCAGACTAATGTAATATATTTTTAATTCTATTGAAATGTTATTAATAAACTTATAATAATTAAACTGTCTCATTCTAGCATCTCATCCTGGCATGCCCTGGTACTAAAAATTATCTCATTTATGGCGAAGATGTATTTGGTGATCGTTTGGAGGGTGTGTGCTTCATAGGTAGAAGTGGCCGTGTCACGATACAAATCATGGAGAGGATGTACAACGTATACAATTTTAGATGTAGCCATAGATTGGAATCGTTTGAAGTCGTACCTGACAGGTCAAACCTGTGTGGGTTCAACGATTCATTCATCTACAAGACAGGATATATTGTAAGCATTTGGTCTTTTTAGGAAGTAATTTTTAAATTAGAACTTCTCTTTTATAGGTCAACGATGAATTGTTTCCTTTGATTGAAAGCTGTCACGATGAACAAACCGGTCGGACTCACTGGAGCAAACATGAACTCCTTGGGATCAGCATGTCGGCAATGATTTCAAATTACAAAGGGCCTATTATTACAAACAACAACGTGAACCTTTATACAAACATGGAAATAGAAAATGCTTATAGACTGGTATGAACTGTAGATTTATTGTAATTGCATGAACACACAGTTAATGATTTTCAATTTTTTTTTTCCAGAGGAACCAAAGAGATAGTCTGGCAAAAGTATTGGGCAAAAATAAAACAAAATCTCTCATGAAGAGAAATATAGACTCATTTGTGAAATCGCAATTGGCCCCTCCGGCCGATTTCAAGCTGGACACATGGAAAGATGTGGCCTATCATTTTGTAAACGCCGAGTTTCAATGGCAACCAATTAATACTGGATTGTGGAAGTCTTTGGAAAACGAAATAAGGCAGCTGGCAAAAATTGTAAGTATGTAATACATAAAACATGGTGAATGTGTTAAATCAATTATGCGTAGGGTACACTATTTTAAAAATAACACCAATTTATAAAAGAAATTTGTTTTTCTTAACGGGGGTTCACTGCAGAAGTCGTCTCAACCCCCGAAGGGCCGGTGTTTTTGAAAAAGGCCATTTGTAAGCATGCTGGATTCGAATCCGGCGTCTTTACCTTGAGTGCCATGTCAATGCTTTAATCATTGCAGCCACCAACAATATTTAATTTATAATATAATTACCCATAGTATGAGGTATATACATAGGATATACAAGTTTTGATTTTACAGAAGACTAAATATTTTGAAAGTGAGGGTGTATGTTGCATTCTCCTGGCTTTGTTTCCTACATGTAAGTCCATAAAAAACTAAGAGAGAAAGAAAAAACACAATATTTTATTTAATTAGTTAATTGCTACTAATTACTTAATTTGGGTAACCGTATGTGCAGTACTTTTGTTTAAACGTAGCAGATGAGATGGAGGCCGATGTAAAGTCGTAACAACTTTGGGGCTTGACACCCATTTTGGTCTGCCTATCCTCGCTGTTTTGGTCAGTCAGGCTGTTTCAAGCGACAATCTAACTGAATAACAGAATATCTTCCAACAACTGAGAACAAACGAACTTAAAAAAAATCCTACTAATCATTGACAACAGTTAAACAATTAAACTAATTGACAACAAACTAATGGATGTACTAAGTAAGTATGTACCAAAAGAAAAAACCGTCCATTGAAGATGGTTATAGCGAAAAGCCGAAACGATCTTTCAGACCAAAACGGAAATGGACGAGGTAAAACATTCATGAGATTTCCTCCTGTGGTCTGCGGAGGATTTGCATGTGGATGTTCTAATTTGGTCGTTACCGATCATTTTGGTCTGCCTATCCTGGCTAGCTCCTACCCAGCGAGATAGGCAGACCGAAATAAACGGCAACCACCAAATTAAAACATCCACATGCAAATCCTCATTATGACAAGGTCTCATTATAAACCATTTAATCTTATTTGTAGAAGTAAAGATAGTTAGGGATGGAAACTCTTCAACATAAAAAACATAGCAACATGGCCTAGTAGTAGAAAACGAATGTTGAAGTTTGCAATTTCCTGTTTTTCGAAGTACGTGCGCATCATCATAATATTGGAACTCGACCGTTGTACCACAGAACGGAGGAAAAGCCAGCGAGTACGATTTCCCATCGTTCAGCCTGATTCTCTACTTTGGGGTTCAATTTTTTATTCATTAGATTTATTTACGTTTACGGATTGATTGCTGACATTTTCTTCGTTTTTTGGTATGTGTATAGTGTAGAACAGATATAGGGCTCAAAACACTGCCGTGTGCACTCCTGGTTGAGTCGGTTTGCGTTTGTCTCATTATATGACCGTGTATGTAACAGGCTAACCAGAAAAGTTCGTGCATTTTATAATTTATTATTGTTTTAATACATTTGCTCGAAGTACAAAAGCGGTTCAAAAAGTTTGCTTTTGGGTATAAGGGGATTGAAGATGAACCATGCTCTGGTAGACCTTCTGTAATTGAGGGAAGCTATCGAGCTTCATTCCAGTCAAATATGTCAGAAGGTCGCCAGTGTTCAACGTAAGTGATGAAACCATTCGCTAGCTTACATCGACTTGGACGTGGAAGCTGAGAAAATGAATTCCCTTAAATTGACCGTCGGTAACAAGCTTCCTCTAAACATTTGCCCTTCATTGCATTCACAGCACAAAGTAGAGACTTTTTTGACCGGATTATCACATGCGATTAAAATGGACCCTGCACAGTAACACCAGAGTTAGGGAATTTTTGACCATTGGCTGTCATCAAATTACTGTGTACAATTGACACGAAAATCGAATAGTCAACAAAAGTTGATGCTTTGAGTTTGGTGGAGTACTTTTTTAAACTTTTTGAACCAATTTTGGGCCGTGCATTTATTGTTGCATCCGGTACGCAGTGCAAATTTTACAAGCTGCCTCAGCTGCCCTAGTATCGAGCTAAAATTCGTACATTAAGCACGCACGAAATATTATATTTTTATTTATTGTTACTTGGGCAAACGCCACAAATGCCGGTAAACATATTGCGAAAAAACAATACAATTACAAGTGTATAGACTTTATAAATAAAATTGTAATTAAAATATACTAAATTAATTTTTAAAAAGTTATTATTTTTTTATTGAAATTGACTGTCAAGATTCGATTTGAAAGTCAAGTGATCTTGAATCGATGACATTTGAAGGACGATTATTCCAATTTTGTTGATTTAATTGATTTCTGGAAGCGCTAGTTTGTAAGTTCCATGCTATGGTTCTGGAGTGTAAAGAAAAAGTTGAGGGAAGAATCCTTTTTGCCATTTTTAAAATGTCGTGTAATCGGGTTGGTTTCTCGACGACGAATGAAATGGCCACGGAGAGCTTTAATGAAGTGTACTTCATTTTAATCATTAAATTCACTAATTTCGCGGTCCGCTTGAACAATTAATACATTACAATTAATTAAGGTTTTTAGTTGAGACGAAAAAAAGTTAATGGCACGAGCGGCAAAAAGGAGGGAAAACTCATAAGGTGGGGTTGAGATAGGAAGTTGATGTCCGAGTGGATCGAGGTCACGATAGCTCAAGTGGTAGAGCAGCGGCGTATCTAGCCGAAGATCGTGGGTTCGAATCCCGCTCGTGCCATTAACTTTTTTTCATCTCAACTAAAAACCTTAATTAATTGAATGTATTAATTGGTCAAGCGGACCGCGAAATTAGTGAATTTAATAATTTCTTAGTTGGCCTCTGGCAGATTCGCTCAGATAATAGCATCTCCATGGTTGACTAGTATTGTTCCGAATTACAAGATAGAATCGCTGGGTTATGGCAAAGAATGCGTTGAAAATTCAATGCTTCAAAATAAAATAAATACGAATATCCAAAGGAAAGCTTGACTTGTTATTTTTTCAGCTAGAGCAAGATTTTTCTATAGTGACTGGAGCAAGTGGACAACTTGAGGTGATAGACGAACAGGGAAATATGAAGCCCGTGTCCTTAGGTGAAAAACCCAACACGCTCTGGGTGCCCAGATATTTTTGGAAAATCATACAGAACAGGGTAAGCTCGAAAAGCGAAATGTCTCGCTTTTTATAAATCCTTATTCGAATTTTTCAGGACTACGAGTGCATGGGTTTTATAGTGATCAATTTCCAAGTGGACTATTTGGAAGAGAGGTTTGTCGATGGGTGCAGCCCATGCTATTTGTACGGTTGGCGAAAGCTGCTTGGAAAGGAATACGCGGTGCAATGCTGTAGCTACGAACTCTTGAGGTCCATCGTCCCCGAGATGCCGGTCCTCCAATGTGACGACATGCTTAAATTTCAAAACAGATTAGAGTAGACGGTCCTAGGATATCACTTGTTAAATCGAAATAATATGTTTTATTGAAATTCACCCTTAGAAGTGGTGATTACAATTTCATTTGTCTTTCCCTGTGATTACTGAGATCTTCATTGTTATACAAAATCCGCCCACTTTTAAATGTTCTATTATAATTTATTGTATTTATTATAAAATTAATTGTTGATGAATATTTATAAATAACATAACTCCAACTTTCGTCTTTCATTAATTATTTGTTCCTTAAAATTTGTAGATGTTAGGCCTTGACTACAGGATTGCGTGAGTTCTTCTTTTCTTCTTTTCATTTCTTTTAAGACTTCGTGACGGTCGATGGAGTGATCGTGTGTTTGCAATGCCAGGTGCCAAAGGGTTGGGGTGATTGTTTAGCAGGTGGTAGAATCGCACCTCCCCTACTGGGAAACCGCAATTATGTAGTGCGGCGGCCCCGATAAAACCACCGATGGTTATTATTAGAAAACGATTTTAAAAAGTACTCAGGGAGAATTTGAGATTGAGAAGAGCCATCCAGATTTGATCTTTCATAAATAATGTGAATGACGTGTGGGATCAGCGTTAATGGTTGTTTTGTAGGTCGGGGCTTCCCTAACTTTTTAACCTTCTGGGTTTTTGTATCTTCCTAGTTGCCTAGTTCAGTGCAATAGACTCAATCCTTCTTCTTAGAAGTATCAGGCCATTGACTGTCGCTGCTACAATTTCATTCCCTAGATTTTGGCTGTATGTTAGGTTAAATCTCCATTGAGCCGTTGCTTCGCATCGAAGATGATATGGGTGGTTGTTTCCTCCTCCTCATTGCATAATCTGCAGATGTGATCATCGTTGTATATACTCATGTTGTGTAGATGTTTTCTCAGATGCCAATGACCGGATAGACCCATCACACCTCTCTCTCTAATTGCAGCACTGAGTTTGCCAGTCTTGGAGAGGGTTGTTTCATCATAAGTTTACGCCGCTAGAGTTTAACCACTTCTCCTTTTGTTTTGTTTGGATTCATTCTGCAATGGAGGATTCTATATTTGATTTTGTTAAGCCCAAGGTTCACGGCCTACGTATGGTCTTGCAGACCCTCCTCTGGCCAGTGTGTCTGCTTTTTCGTTAACCAACCTCTGTGCCCTGGCACCCAAGATATCATCAGGTTGTTGTGTTTCTCCAGGTTTTGGAGATTTTGGATGCAATCACTGACTAATTTTGATGTGATTTTTTACATGCTAATGCTTTAATAGCTGCTTGGCTAACAGATCTTATGAGGATTTTTTGCCAGTGTAACCTCTTTTAAGTTTTCTTTGATGGGCACTTTGATGGTATTTCTGCTTGAAAGACCAATGTTTACTTCCCTAATGAGTTTGATTGCTCATGTCTTGGGCTTGCACAAAAAATACCCGATCCGGTTCCTTCGTTTGTTTTGGAGCCACCTGTATACCACATCATTGTATCTGATGCTCTCCTGAGTTCGTCTTCTCCTTTATAGTCCATTGAGACTTTAAAGGATGTTGTAAAGAATGTTTCCGGGATCATATAGACAGTCCTCATTTCTAAGAATGGGTGTCTGATTTTATTGATTATGGTTGTGTGTCCGAATTGTTTAGTTCCTATCCAATTTGATTGTTTTTGGAGCCTAAATGAGCTTTTCCTAACCTCTCTTGTATAAATGTTTCCAGTGGAGGTGGGTTTAGTAGAATTTCTAGTGCACTTGTAGGGGTTGTTAATTTGAATATTAATAAATTAATGAATTAATGGGGTGAGTGAGGTTGTTTTAGCCTGCACCATTTGGATATGTTGGGTTTAATTTTTCATGGCTGGAGAAGGATGTCGGATTCAGCATCTAGACAGCTTCGGTATTTAGTTATGGTGGCTACATAGTAAGGAAATCCGGATTCGCATAGGTAAGTTGTGGCAAATGAAAGACGTTTTGGTTTTTCAACGAGTGGTTGAAAGTTTTTTTTCCAGACGGAGTCAAAAATGTGGGTAACTATCGGTCTCGAAAATAGATTTCAAGATGTAGTCTGAAGTAACGTATATCAAACATACGAATTCACTTAATGGCTGGCTTTGTCGAAATTGAAAACGGTATCCTTTCATGGTCTTGCAGTAGTCTATCTCGAGCTGTTGGGAAGTATTGGGTTGTCCGGAAAATAATGCAGGATTTTGGTATTAAACAAAAAAAAAGAAACTAGTTACTTTAAAGCAATGTTCTTTAATCAAAATAATTTCCCATACTCTCAATACATTTCTCCCAACGTGTTGGTAACTTATTAATTCCGTCTGAGTAGAATTCAGAATTTTTAGAATTGATAAAGTCAATAAATGCATTTTCCAGTTCCGTTTGATTTTTGAATATTATGTGTTGTAAGTAGTGGTCCAGGTGTCTAAAAAAATGGTAGTCAGTAGGCGAGAGGTCCGGAGAGTAGGGTGGGTGAGGCAAAGTTTCATAGCCAAGCTCCAATAATTTTTGTGACGTTACACGTGACACATGTGGTCGAGCGTTGTCATGCAACAAAATGGGCCCTTTCCGATTGACCAAAGAGGGCTTCATTACTGCCAATTTCTGATGCATGGTATTAATTTGGTTACAGTATGATTCAGCATTGATGGTTTCGCCAGGATTTAAGAAGCTGTAGTGTATTAAACCAAATGAAGCCCACCATACCGTAACCATTACCTTTTTTTGATGAGTTGGGGGCTTTGGAGCTTCTCCTTTGTCGAGCCACTGTCCAGAACGTCTAGTGTTATCGTAGAGAATCCACTTTTCGTCACATGTAACAATTCTGGCCAGAAATGGGTCATTTTTGTTTCGACAAAGAAGTGATGCACAAACATCAAAGCGCTGATTTTTTTGGCGATCGTTTAATGAGTGTGGAACCCAATTTTCGAGTTTTTTCACTTTTCCAATCGCTTGAGGTGGTCAGCGACGGTCGTTTTACTGACTTTGAGTTGCTCTGCAAGTTCTCGAACAGTTGTTTTGGGGTTTTCTTCCACCACTGATCGCAGAACATCATCATTAAGAGAGGAAGGCCTTCCACGACCTTCTTCATCTTCAAGGCTGAAATCTCCCTCCCGAAATTTTTTAAACCACCTTTGCACAGTGCACTCATTAACACAACCCTCGCCCCAGACTTGGTTAATGTTTCTAGCCGTTTGGGCTCCGCTTCGGCCGAGTTTAAACTCGTAAAAGAAAATCGTACGAAATTCTCGCTTTGACATTATAAGGATGACTGAATTATTTCCAAGTAGCGGAATGCTACAGAGGTAAACAAACAATATCATTTGGAAGAGGATTAATAAGTGTTGACATTCATACAAATGAGTAATCCTGTAAACGTAAACAGAATATTTTATATAGATTTTTTTTAATGAAAACTTAAAATCCTGCATTATTTTCCGGACAACCCAATAGTACTGAAAGGACATCTCCCAACAACAAACGTGTTCACATATTTCATCGATTGTATAAGCTCGTTTGATTTCTTTAAAAAAAAGTCATTTTACAAACACTGCACCTCTTTCCTCTCAACAGATTTAACCCAAGAAAAGTTTTCTTTTGAAGGAGTGAACTTTGCCAATAACATCGAAAGTTGTGATAATCTTCCCATGCAAATAAAGATTCATCATTTTCATGAAAATATTTCATAAATACGACAGTATACATTACCATTGCTCATCATTGACAACGATGGTCAATTTAGATCAATAGAGATAAGACTTCAGAATATAATTCCTGTAATCGTGAAAGTGCTTTCGCGCAAGACAGTCACCTAACTTTAACGATGGTGAAGTTGGGAATGATGAAGGCTTCCTATATTGACACATTGTTTCATCATAAGTTTACTGTGTCTAGCGCCGCTAGAGTTTATCCACTTCTCCTTTTGTTTTGTTTGGATCCATTCTGCGATGGAGGATTCTATTGAGAAAAGTCGCGACTTGATATTAATAATTTGAACTTTCAAAACTTTTTTAAAAGAGGCTAGCAATTGTTTCATAGCTAAAGCATGTGTGTGGAGAACACAATGACTTCTGCTGCAAAATAAAAACTTTCGTTTTCAGTACTTTATTAGTTATTTGTTTTATAATTTTATTTATTCCTTCTCCGCTATTTTTGTAATTTTTACTTTTTATCGAAGTTCATCGCGGACCACCAAGGGATCGACGGATCACAATTTGGGAAGCTCGATGTAGGCGACGATGGAGAGAAGTGCTCACAAAATGTTGAAATATGACGATTACGAAGAATTGTTCAGGTTCAATTTAATTTTCTACTGGCTTCATATTTTTAGACATCTTTATCCTACAAGCCTTCAAAAATAAACAAGTATTAGTCGTCTTCGGTGACATTCAAAACGCGTTTGATAAAGCTTGAAAACGTTTGATCATAGTGACATGATAGAGACATGATCGACCCAGATGTTTCGGTTCCTTAAAGCTTCCAATCTATACCAGCAAATTAAGGCATAGATGAAACTAATTAGGAAACTCAAATAAAATAACAACCTCAGTAATCCAAGTCTTCTTCATGATCTGATTTAACTTATTCCACTGATTTGCCTTTTATATCAACTATAATTAAGTTATAATAATTTTTGTTAGCTAAAGCTTGGTAAGGAATCAAGGCAAGATTGCCCAGGTGGTTTTACCCTTAAAAAATTCTGCTGGTACTACTAATTTAGTATTGTCAGGTGTAATGCCGCATGTACATAGTGTTGGACTGCAGATCCTCCTCTGGCAGGAGTTAATAGCGCGTATTTCAGCTTGAAAAACCGAGTTGTAATTCTCTAATGACTTTGATTGTTCATGTTTTTTTTTGCTTTTTTGTTTTCCATGTTTTCCAAAAAAAACGGCTTAACCGATCCTTAATTTGTTTTGGAGTCATCTTTATACTATATCATTGTATCTGATGTCTTCCCGAATTCTTCTTATCCTTTGTAGTCTATTGAGACCTTACACGATGCTATAATGTTTCCGGGACCATGTAGTGCCCGAAGTGTTTAGTTCCCATCCAGTTTGAGCAGTTTCTAGAGCCTAAATGAGCTTTTCCTTGCTTCTCCTTGTAAAAATATTTCCAATGGAGGTTTAGCTTCTAGTGCAATTGATGGGCTTGTTTTCCTTACCCCTGTGATACCATAGTTTTGCCAGTCTTTCACGTTTGGCCCACCAGCTTAGTGAGCCATAGCCATTTTGGTCATATTACGTAAATGGGGGTAAGGAGAATTTTAGATATTTTAAAATTTCTTAAGTTGTTACTGGTGAAGGTCCTGGTGATTAAATTCACTAGTTTCGTGGTCCGCTTGACCAATTAATATCTTACAATTAATTAAGGTTTTCAGTTGAGATATAAAAGTCAATGGCACGAGCGGGATTCGAACCCACGATCTTCGGCTTGATACGCCGCTACTCAACCGCTTGAGTTATCGTGACCTCGATCCACTCGGACATCAACTTCCCATCTCAACCACACCTTTTGAATTTTCCCTCCTTTTTGCCATTTTTCAAATGTCGTGTAATCTATTTGATTCTCGGCCACGGAGAGCTTTAGTGAAGGTATACTTCATTTTAAACTTATTAAATTCACTAGTTTCGTGGTCCGCTTGACCAACCAAGCCGAAGATCGTGGGTTTGAATCCCGCTCGTGCTATTGACTTTTTTATCTCAACTGAAAACCTTAAATAATTGTAGTCCTGGTGATTGTTTGATTTTGTTTTTCATGTAATAAAATGGATGTCAAGCCAATACTTATTTCTATTACATCGAGCATAGTCTATTTTGATAAAAATATAATTGAAAGTACTAAACCATGTAATATAATTTTATCAGCTCTCGCTTAAACCTGATTGAAAAGGTTATTTGTTGTGCTATTATATTATACATTTGAAAAACTATTAGGGATGCAAGTTTGTCGTCGTAAAACCGACCAATTTTCTTCGTAATTCTACTGAGACAATTTTATTGTAAATAGAGAATTACATAAACTGACTCGCAATTTTGTTTAAGTGATTAATATAAATCAATGTAGAGGTTTGGGGTTAAATAGGTTGTTAGGGCGCAATGCAGACTACGGAAGACTTAACACCAAAAGTTTGACACATTTTTTCCCCTTTCGGCTGAATAATCGTTGCCGAAAGCCATTTGCTCTGGCCCCATTATCTGAGGGGCTATGAAATTTTCGTTCCTAACTTTTTAGACACGCACATCTTAGGGTCTGTTGCCTTGCACTTGAAAATCTGGATCAAGGCCGGGTCGCATCGGCCCTTAAACGCAGCTTTTTTCTCCCATGCACTCAGTAACATCGTCTTAATCAAAGATGGTTATTACTGGTGGCTATAATTTCGGTCGAAACATGCTGGATTTGAATTTTTGAGATGAATTCAATTCCATAAAGTCAAAGATCAAGGTAACTATTATGTATAAAAAATGATATTTTAAATTGTCTTATAAAAAATGGATAGACTACTGGGTAACAAGGAATTTTATTTTCAACTGGACGAGTTTAATGAAAGACTTCAGGGAGATGATTCTTCTCAGCATCAATTCCGCCTTTTTCGCCCATTTTCAGTTTCAGTTTCTTCTCGTACCACTCTGGACTTCCTCCGTTCATAGTCGTCGGCTCACTGAAATCTTCGACTTTCATCTGTAATACGGAAAACCGATATTTACCTCGTAAAACAAGGATGGAAAATGGTTACAGATCGTCCTGCCTTATTACAAATGTACAAAATATGCCCAACTGGGTTATATAATATATACATATTTATATATATTTGACGAGAATCACCTCTTTTTCCAAGGCCATTTTTATCTTGACGACGTTTTCTGGAGTAGAGTCTAAAAAGCGCTTGCGTGGGGGTGCCTTAGGGGATGGGCATGCTTGAATCCGGCAGTAGAAATCCGGCTCAGTCAAACTCCTAGATCGGATATTTTCTGCAGAAGGTAAATTCATTTAATAATTCAATTATAAACTGCACGAACATAATAAAAATAAAAATTCCTCGTTTCTCATAAAGGGTAACCCAATTATTCCTGCTATGCCATAATTTTTAAACAACTTACGACACTACGAAGCAAAAACTTTGTTAATAATCGAACAACTTCAAAAACTAATAATGGCAATTAGCATGAATGTCTTGTTGCAATAATGTTTACGAAAACCTCATGTACAACCTAACTACAACCAATGTTCAAATAAATAATCAAAATTTAAAGCCCCCTCCAACAGACTTTGCAAAAATTTTATTGAGTTAAATTTAATTAGTTTTATACAAGCACAATTTTAATTTTAGGACTGTTATACTCATCGTTGAATAAAATGCAGTGTAACTACTGACCTGCATTTCTGACACTTTTGTTACTATTGTGTATTGATTGTTAGTTTTGCCTATTGATAGACACCATTTGTCGCTTCTTTACAATCGATGATTGTGGTTCTAACACTGCCATTCGGTTTTGTCTGTTCAAAAAGCTTTAAATGGAACAATGAAACATACAAAATATATTTCAGAACGTTTTGATCGTTTATGTATTGTAATGGTTTGGAAGTGTGTCGTGGTACATACAAAATTTTTAAACAGGCAAAGTATTGAATTATTTTAAGATTTTTGACTTTGGTTTGGCACGATATAAAAAAAAACTTTTATTTTACAATCGTTTTAATTCTCTTTTTACTACATGCCTAAGGTATTAATCATTATCTGCAATTTTCTCAATCATCTGGTCTACGCTAATTTAATTTTACCACATGATAAAGGCAAAACATAATTCTAATTTAATGAATTTTACACAAAACGTTGGCTCCCTTTAAATCATTTAAAAATTACTTAATATTAAAAAAAATATCAATTGCTTTTTAAAAAGTTACGTTTTGGTAATTGTACAATGTAGGCCTATAATGGAAGAGATTACGGTTACTAATTGACAATTAGATAAGTTTGAACCATAAATTTACTTTGGAGGTTTTTTAAAAACTTTATCTTTATCATGTGGAGGTTGTTTAGTTTTTAATCACAAGTAGTTAGTTTTACCTTGCATGTTGACCCTTTCGTGAGGTCGAAAGTTGTGTACGGTTCTTTTTCTCTGAAATGTGCCTCTCAGCCAGTTCCATATCCTGGTCAACCCGACAAAACATCGGTCCGATCTCTCTGACATCTAGCATTTCCAAACAATTTCCACTGACACAGGTTCTTCACTCACACATCACCGGCCGTTCACGCCCCAGGGCACTGTAAAGTCAAAATCCAGACGTTAATCCTTTGAGTGTACTTTTCATAAAATCCACTTACAGAATCTAACCATCCTATCTCGAGTCAATTGCTAGATATAAGAGTCTGGTAGTGTAAAAATTGAATTTGTTGAAATTTTCTTTGGGAAATGATTTAGGTGCACGAGTCGGTAACATCTGTTTAATTTCTTTAAAGGCAGAGCCGGGTCGGGAAAAAGTTATCCCTTTTAAAATTTCTCTGTTACGCGAGGTCGTCGATGATCGATATCGCGGCTGGTGAGTGCCAAGCACTGAAAATGCATGAATGAAAGGCCCTGCACTGCGATATTCTTTAATGCATGACTGAACAGTCCTTTTACCAACCCTAACTATTAAAAAAGTGGGTGGAAAACCATAGTTATATTAGCCTCGGAGATTTCTCATGAATTCCGTGCATAACTGGATTACTTCGTGTTCAGAATTGCTGAGATAAAGTTCATTAAAAAAAAAAATCATATCTATCGACAAACGATTTAGCAACAAAATATATAAATTCGTTTCAATTTGATGACTAAAACCTTTTGTTTAACTTTCGACAAATTATTACAACAAAATATCACGCAAAGAATCAAAGCTTAAACATTTGTAAGCGTTCGGCCGAAAAAATCAACATCAGCCAGAAGTAGTAGAAACAAAAAAAGGGCTTAAAATTTCGCCTTGAAAGACCCTTTAGTCGCATCGACTTAACGACCCACCGACTTTAACAGAAACAGAAGTGCAGTCATACAAACTCTTTAAAAGATAAATAATATTTCGGCTAAGGCCGAGACGAAATAATTTTTGACATAAAATATATCAAAAGCGTTTCGAAAATCAACAAAACAGTCATAAATCCTTATGAGACCTTCCTGAGTCTCAAATTTATTTGAATAACAGAACTAAGAATAAAAATATTATCCACGCAGCTACGGTTCTTTCGAAAGCTTGATCCTCAGGCAGCGATTTAGCTGATTCTTCACATAACATCAAATAACTGAGCAATATCTAGGTGCAAATTTTGTTGATACAATTGGCCAACGAAATATGGCTGCTTGGATCTTTTGGGCCACCACTTTTGAATAGCCTTGAGAGACTTACTTTGGACCATTCTGTGTGGTAGAGTTTCTGTTTCAACGATTCTATTAAAAATATTTTCAACAAAAACGAAGCCTTACATGTGGGAGACACGATTTTTGAAAAAATCGAAAGACAAACTATCAGATAACTAGATCCGGGTGAGGAGTTATTTTTACACGAAACGTCTAAGTATGAGTGGTTCACACCATCGAAAATATTAAAATAATTTTTTATAGGCTTATCCAATTCACCATTCATCTATAGAAATCAGATTTTGTAGATTTTCCTTATTTCAAAGTTTATTCACGCCTGACCAGAACTCGCCTGGGCCCCTAGTCGCTGTTAATCAATCACTCGCTTTTCAAAATTGATTTTCTTTAACCTGAAGAGATTTCGGTAATTATTTTTCTTTTGATCTAAGTATGTGTTGCTTTCTCTCGTACAAAACTTCGCTTTTCTACATATTACAAACCAGGTTTTTTGACTTCTTTATTGTTTTCGGGGAGATATTTTGTCACTTTAACATTGGTTTCAACTGTAGCATGATTTATAGCCTTTATAAAATCACTATAAAATTCGCCAGGATTGGAATTTGTAATGTTTGCTGACATTATATTTGACGAGATTACCGAAACGTTAATTGTCAAAATTAAATTTAAAAAAATCGAAAGTTGGCGTCGTACGGAACAACAAAAAGCGCTTGCGATCTTTTTTATCGTAGAAATTGTACGATGTTGTTTTCTATTATAAAATATTTAGCCCAACCATGTGTGATAAGGCTTTAACTCATTAAAACATACACATTCATACTAATACCTAAAGTTAGGTGGTACTCAAGGAATTCAATATTCCACTGAGATCCCACCCTCATTCACGCTAATAAATACATTCCGTCAAATCTTAATCTTTCACACATTAAATAGCTTAGCCACACAACAGTGGCCATTGTAAACCACTAATAAAATTTTCTAGACAGGCTTGGAAATACAGACTGGAATTGTTTATGTTAATATTTTTATTGTGAACAAATTCAAGTGTTAGATAAAAGATAAAATTATAGCTTTTATTTCGAAAAACTAAATTCATTGGTGTGATTTATTGATTTTTGTCCATTTTGAGCTATCTTAGTTTTGATTTGAAAAAAATTGCAAATTTTTTTAAACATAGTTTTCAATAAATGGTAGTTACACATTCCATTCATTACCAATACCTAATCTAAGTTAGGTGGAACTCAGAGGATTCAATATTCCATTCAGATCCCACCCTCATTCACGCTAATAAATACATTCATGCAAATCATAATCTTTTACACATCAAATAGCCACCATTATTAATTGCCACAACAGAGGCCAACATTGTAAACCACTAATAAAATTTTACAGACAGGCTTGGAAATACAGACTGGAATTGTTTATGTTAATATTTTTATTGTGAACAAATTCAAGTGTTAGATAAAAGATAAAATTATAGCTTTTATTTCGAAAAACTAAATTCATTGGTGTGATTTATTGATTTTTGTTCATTTTGAGCGATCTTAGTTTTGATTTGAAAAAAATTGCAAATTTTTTTAAAGTTTTCAACAAATGGTAGTTACACATTCCATTCATTACCATTACCTAATCTACGTTAGGTGGTACTCAGGGGATTTAATATTCCATTCAAATCCCATCCTCATTCACGCTAATAAATACATTCATGCAAATCTTAATCTTTTACACATCAAATACCCAACCATTATTAATTGCCACAACTCTGTCCAAAATAGTAAACCACTTTCAATTTTTTTATCACACTTTTCATAGTTAATTAAAATAGAAATATTAATCCATTTATGTTTAGTGGTCTAATTGACCAAATTACTTCTTTCAATTAACTATTCTTTTTATGTAAAGTCTTGGGTGAGATGAAAAAGTTAGTGTCACGACCTTCGGCTGGGTTCGAATCCCGCTCGTAACACTTACTTTTTCACCTCAACCAAGAACTTACATCAAAAGAATAGTTAATCGGAAAAAATAGAAATATTTATTTTTAAAATTTTCTTTATTCAAAGAAAGGAATGTTACTTTCGTTTCAATGGTCTGTTAAAAAAGATCCAATATTTCAAAGTAGAAAAAACTAGTTGGTCTTCAGTGAGGTCATAGGTTCATTTGCTTTACCGCCGTCTGAAGTCGCCCTTGCACATGTTGCACGCTGTTTGAAGTATAACACTAACAGTAACACATTCAATAGGAACTCATAGTATGTGAGAATCAACATCACACGAGAAGAAATGAGTGGACAGATTTGCAAGTATTTCCTCTCGAAAGGCTGCAGGTACGGGGATCGCTGCAGGTTCATTCATGAATACCCAGAGGAAGAATACGGCACTGAGTACGAGTCCAGGTACGCTTCCAGGAATCCGTACGTTTACCTTTCGGACGACTATCAACGTAGTGGTGCCAGGAGTGGCCCACAGCCGCAGAAAAACCTGATCACAGAGATTGTCGCCCATTTGGCACAGGAGGTGAAGCAGATCGAAAGGTCGGGTATGTGGCCGTTGACTGTCATCGGCTACGCCAACCATGGCAACATACCGGGATGGAAGGATTACTCCCCCGAAGAGATCAGATGGGCCAACTACCTCGCAGCGGGCAACGGCTCCTTGCAGAAATTTATGCAAGACTGGATGTCGCTTTTGCGCAAAGCTGCTGAAAACAGGAAGATGTTTACATCACCGACAAAGCAGACAGTGGAAATCGTAAAACAAATGATTGATAAAAAATTGAACACAGAGTCGTCAAACTCCAAGAACCAAACGTTCTCCACAACATCTTCATTCTCGAGTCCCATTACGAACATGCAGAGAGATCCTGCACCAGGACTCTTCAGCCAAGTGCCCAAGCAGAATCCGTCTTCCAGTTTCAACCAGCCGCTTTTCTCTAAATTTTCAACTCCGCCGTCTCAAAGCTTCTTCGGTAATTCAAACCAACCTGGAGGCTTTGGCCAGCCTAGCGGTTTTTCTTCAGTTTTTGCCAACCAGCCTAGTGTCTTCGGAAGCTCCAACAATCCACCCATTGATGACCAACAGATGCAAGAGTGTGAATTCGATGAGCCAAAACAAAACGTCGGTGCGTCGCAATCTACATTCGGCCAGCAGACGCTGAACATAGAAAAAAACATTTTTGGACAAGTCCCAAGCATGATCCCTTTCAGCATGTCCACCACATTTGAGAATAAACCAGTACAATCCATTTTTTCCTCTTCAGTCAGTGAACAATCTGAAACATTCAAAAGTAAAATCTATTCTAAAATGTCAGACTTGACAGAGGAAGAAATCGAGCAATTTAAAGCTCAAACTTTCACTTACCAAAATGTACCTCTTAAGCCCCCTCCTAAGGAACTTTGTGTACCTTGAAAATATATATATCTAAGATAATTATTATTGTGTAAAAATATGTTGATAACTGAAAAGGTGATATTAATATTATATTTGTAAATTTAAAAAATACAGTTTATGTGTATTTTAGTATTTAATAATAAAGCTATTTATTTATTATGTAAATTTATTGTAAATTATCAAGTGACTATTCAGCTTAATTGTTAAGTAAATTTTCAATAAATTTAAAATACAAACAATATTGTTTATTTATTTTTCATCTTCTTCTTGTTTACTGCCTAAAGATAACGAATTTCACATTTCAACATATTTTCTCATAGCAATGATGAGTTTTTTCTGATGTCTCTTGAATGTTATTTTTTCTTTTCGCATTCCTTTGTTTACAGGCCAATTAAATCTAATTTATCGTTCTGTGTAAATGCCACCATAAAATAGAATAATCAACTCAAAGAAAGATTCTATATCTGAACAGTTAAAAAACAAAAGAAAATAAGCACAATAATATAAATATTTGCAAATAAATTAATACACAGCATTTTGAAATGTAGTTTTCACATTCATTTTGTTTAATTCTTTATTCTACCAAGAAATATATAAATATAAGTACCAATCACAATTAATATGTATTGAAATAGCTTTTAAAAATAATTATGCTCCTAAGCGCGGGTTTTCACGATTTGACTTAAGTTAATCAACTAAAGTCGAACAAAATCTAGCGAGAACCTTCAATTCAACAAAGTTAAACTAACAAAGTTTCATAATTCAAACAAGTCATACTTTTGTTGTTCAAGTGAGACATTCTTTTCATGTTGAAACATCTCTGTTGTCTGTTTTCTTTTACATTGTGTGAGTTGTGTTATTTGGTTTATAAAAATAGTTAAAAAACAAAAATGAGGCAAGTGGATTTGAAATTATTTAAATTTTATTATAAGCATAACCACCAATCTATGCAATTACATAATCATAGGAGGACTACTTTATTTATTTATTTATTTTTTTTTAAGAAGAAAAAACCTAAAACATATTATTTGTAATGCTATTAATGGCTCTGAGGTCTAATGTCCACTGGGTCCACTATCAGAATGGCTGTGTTGAGGGAAGATTATTATTATTATCATTTTTTTAAAGAAGGAAAATTTTTCAGGAACTTGTTTTAAAAGATTTGCTAATCAGAAAAATGAGATTTAATTGTATTACCTTTTATTGTAATTGTAGCTTTGTTTTATATTCAGAACTTTTGGTAAATCCAGACAGGATTCATTATTATTTGGTTATTTAAAAAGTCATGAGAATATTTTTTGCATAGCTAATTAGTTGTGTAACTAATAAATAATTTGTTGTGTAAAAATTATTACATTGACTGTATTGAATGATTAAAATGAGGATATGTAAAGTGTCTTCTTTGGACTCTTGAGAATCCCCTCCAAAGGGTAAAGCCCTGCACTAAAGAAATGCAAAATGGTGCAGCCAGTGGGTAGGAGGTGCCACCAAAAGGGTAGTCGCTGACCAGTGATCAGTCAGTAGTTGGAAGTTAGTAAGTTAGTAGTTAAGTGGACATTGGGCTGTTGGTCATGAGTCAGTTACCCTGCGATGAGTGAGAAGTTTGATTTTGAACTGACAGTTCTTGGTCGCAAAAATGGAGACGAGTGGGCTAGATAGACCTTTGTTTGTTATGGATTCGGTGAGCTTTGGAGGACGAGTGTCTGGCTTTGGCGCAGATAACTCCTTTATGGTTTTTAAGCATCATCATTTTGAATTGTGAAGAATTTGATTATTTTTTTATTGTCCCAATGAAGGATCTGGAAGAAAGGCAAATCATGATGACTGATCGACTCTTCGTTTTTCTCTCTCCGAGATATCCGACTCTCCCTCTCTTCCCTTCAATCCATTATAAATTATACAAAAAATATATAAAAATACAGACAGATTTGAGAGAAAATGCTTTTTGTTCGATTGGAAAAAAAAAAAAAATAAGCACATATGTGTGGTGTTTAGTGACTGTTAGTCAATGATTATTCGGAGATCATGAGATGCGGTCTGGTGTAACGTAGGTTTTACGAATACTTTGATTGAATCTAAAATTTTCTGGCACTGTATAATTTTTTTTAATCTCAGATTTTCTAGCATTGTATAAATTCATTCTATTTTTAAATCTAAAATTTTCTAGCATTGTATAAATTTAATTTTTTTTAATCTAAAAATTTTCTAGCATTGTATACATTCATAATTTTTTTCCACATCCTACATGTATTTGTAAAATTCAAACTATGGTTATAAATCCCAGGCCCTGAAGATGATCTCAATAAAGATTGAAATGTTGGCACGATAAAGAAAATGTTTTTCTAAAACCTTCATCACACCAAACTGCATCTCACGATCTCCGAATAATAATAAAAACATAAATAAATAAATAGAAATTGTCAACTTTATTATCGCAAAATTAAGATGTTTGACTTTTTGCCTCAGATTGCCAGGGTACTCAATAATCTGCAACTGACCTTCTCACCCTACACATTCAAGCTAATAAATACATTCATTCTTAACACAATTATCATTTATGTACACTAAAACAATCCTGTTTTCTCCAAGCATTGTAACATGGGGCCAAGACTGCCATTCTCAAGAACAATTCTTGCATCGGGTGGCACTCCTATGCGTTCTCTGTATGGAGCCAAGGAATTGCACCTTTCCATTAGTGTGTTTTAAATATATATATAAAGTTTTTTCAGTACATGAAAATAATAAAGTATATCTTGAATTTTATCTGATCTTACAAAAGCCATACTTCATTTATGTTGGATTGTTCAAAAATAGATAAAATATTTGCCTTATATTAAATTGTGGTTAATCACATGTAATTGACACTGTTCAAAACTAATGATGCTATTATTCATTGTTTTTTTTCCATTCACAATTCAACCTAACTTAAAAAAACTGACAAATACTTGAAAATGAAAAATACTTTATACTTATGAAAAATTCTTCAATACTAATATAAAAGTGAAATCTTTTGAGATTGCCAAAGTTTTCCTCGAGTAGTGATGTAATTTATCCATATAATAATATGGAGATCATGAGATGTGGTAGACTGGTACAATTGTTTTAATAAATTAACAATAATTAAAAAATTTTCTTAAATAAAATATATGGATAAATGTGTGGTGTTTAGTGACCGATAGTTAATGCATATTTAGAGATCGTGAGATGTGATCTGGTCTCACAATCTCTTTTTCTCTCTCTCGGGGTGCTAGTGTTTTTGAAAAAAAGCCCATTTGTAAATATGTCGGGTTCAAATGCACGGCTGCTGGATTGGAACCCAGGACCTTTACATTACAGTGATGAGTGCCGTGTCAACGCCTAAACCATTGTGGCCACCGACGCCCCCCATACAATCTCTAAATAATCATTATTTTTAACTTGCATTTTATATCTTATATATACATTTTTGACAACATACACTAAAAGACAGAACTTTAAAACTTAAAACGAGACATTTTTGGATAAATTTGTTGTGAAAATTTTAATGATTGTAAACCATGCTGTAATGTAGAAATCCGTGGCAAACTAAAGACATTTTATATTATTTTGTCAGGAATGGAGGACACCAAGTATCTTTCAAAGCTGTTAGTTTTGATTAAACAAGTGATACAATTAGAAATATACCTATGGAATTAACGTTTCGATTAGTACGAGAATGAGCATATCACAATGGCTCCCTATAGAAGATACAGCCATCCAAGAATATATACACAACAGCAAGAAGCTGAATGTCCTTGCCGAGACTTTAGAAACGAAATTGGCAAATATGTTATACGAAGATGATAACGCATGGAAGGTAAGCGACAAATTTTATTTTATTTTATTTTTTTATGATGTATTTTTTATACAGGAGTTGAAAGAGGTGTGCGACAGCTTGGAAATTACGGGCAAACTGTTCACAAAAGTATCTGGAGATCACAGAGCAGCAATAGTTGCAAACTATAAATGTAAACATTGGAGGATTACTATAAACAATAAGAGGTTGACCATAATGTACACTTTGACTCATGTCATTACTATCGCTCTTGGAAAATTTTTAGAACATGAGGAAGAGCTTGTTCATATTCTAAAGTAAATGTTTCAAAATATTTTAAATTTATTTGTTTCTAAACTTTGCAACAATACTTTTACAGGCTTATTGTTTTCTTTGATGCTATACTCCCTCTTGGAACTGGAGCTGAGAGTAAAACGACTTCTATTGTAAGAAATACATGCCCTTCCATGCTACTACCGATGAGAAAATTATCTCTAACCAAGATATTACAAGTAAGTGCTATTATTAATAATAAATATTACTCTTTCATTGTTTAAATATATTTTATTTATTTAGATAATAGCTCAATTGAGAGCAGAAGTATGTGGTCAGCAGCTAGTCTACATACTGATGAATATAAAGGCAGAAACTGATAGAGGTAATGACGATGATTATCCTGCATCTGATGACTCGAGTATGGAAGTGTATAGGTATGAGGATATGATTACTGTCTGTTAAAGGATGTAGCAAAGTAATTTTTGCAGGGCTTTGACAGAAAACATGTCACCGGCTCACATGGGGACTGTTACGACACCAGGAACCGAACATCCACAGTACATAGTGTCAGAGGTCTCCATGCTGGAAAGCCTTATTGCGATGGAGTGTCACAAACTGAAGCGACTTTTTGACACTATTGCAAGGGAAGCCCCTGATAGGCTTGGTCCTTTTGCCACAAAAGAATCCAGATCTTCAGGTACGATACCTTTCTGGTTTTTTCCAAACATAAAAATAACGAATTAAATTATTTCAACTTTATTTTAAGAAATATGGATATGTAAATGAACCAGATATTTTCAGGGGAGTTTAAAATGAGCAACAGGTTTAAACAGAAAGTAGTTGGTTATTATCAAGAAGTCTTATGGGGCAATGTAGGGACTTATGCTGAGTACAGTCTTATCTGGAAAGGGATTGGATTTTATGGAGAGACGTGTAGCAGATGGTCATCTTGGTTAAAACGTTTTACAGTCAATGTCAGTTTTCCTCAAATCTTAAAACCAGCGCTTCAGAGTCTTATAGATGGACTTTGTGTACACATCACGACAGTTACGTGGGATTTTCTTTTTAGAAAAGCCCTTGTTGCAGCAGGCTATCAAAACAGCACCTATATTGTCGATAATTACATGCATGTATGTCTCAATTATAATTTTTTTTTTCAGTTTTAACCAATTTTCATTTTTTAGGGAACAAGGGCTGGACTATTATTCAAGGAAATGTTCTCTGAGTTAGTTTCTCTATCAAACAGTTGTGAAGGCTCCAATTGGACAGTGGCAGCTCTTGAAGAATTGCCCCTAACTGAACAAATACCAATTCTACATCGTTTAGACCACTCGGTATTGTTAGTTTTTTTATTTAAATTAAATTAAATTTAAATTACTTTAATTAAATTAATTTAAATTACAAAATTTTGATGTTATTTTGTTTGTCAAAAGATTCACACTGTGAGGTTGTGGGCAGAGGGTAAAGCACGGCAATTGTCAAACATGTGGAACATGGATCAATTTTTCCGAGTTACGCAAGTCGATGTCTTGTCTTGCTTATCTGCACTTACAAAGCGACACGTAATAATTTATTTATTTTCAAATGATTTAAATGTATTTAAGACATTATTTATAGTAAATTCACTAATTTCATGGTCCGCTTGACCAATTAATATATTACAATTAATTAAGGTTTTTAGTTGAGATAAAAAGTCAATGGCACGAGATGGATTTGAACCCACGATCTTTGGCTTGATACGCCGCTGTTCTACCACTTGAGCTGTCGTGACCTCGATCCACTCGGACACCGACTTCCCATCTCAACCCGCTCCTTTTGAAATTTCCCTCCTTTTTGCCATTTTTCAAATGCCGTGTAATTGGATTAGATTCTCGACGACAAATGAAATGGCCACAGAGAGCTTTAATGAAGCATACTTCTTTCAAATCATTAAATTCACTAATTTCGTGGTCCGCTTGACCAATTAATAATATATTACAATTAAGGAGGGAAATTTCAAAAGGTGCAGTTAAGATGGAAAGTTGGTGTCTGAGTGGATCGAGGTCACGATAGCTCAAGTGGTAGAGCAGCGGCGTATCAAGCCGAAGATCGTGGGTTCGAATCCCGCTCGTGCCATTGACTTTTTTATCTCAACTAAAAACCTTAATTAATTGTATTTATTTAGTTTTCAAACCAAAATGACCTATTGGGCCCAGAATGCAGTGTCCATGTTATGGTATGTGGAAAAATGAGGGCAAAGCTGGTATCAGAAGTGCAGGAGAATTTCAAGAAGCTTCAGGTAAGTATGGGTACAACTTTATAAAAACTTTATGAAACTTAAAAGTTACTCGCAGGAGGTTCCTAATGGCAGTGTCGACGTCCTTGCAAATGTGTGCCGCATATTCAGCCTCGCGAATCTTAAGTTAATGTTTCCAGATCCAAAATATTGGAAACAAAATTTTGACGAAATACCGCAATATGCAAGCACTTATGTTGAGGATTATCTTGGTAATTTTATTAAAATATCACTATTGCACAAAAACAAAAATAATTGCCTTCAAAAATTTACAGAAGTGGTGTTAAAACCTGTAATACATGCAACAACCGAGCTAGATGATTTAGTACAACAGAGAGTATCTTGTCTCGTCCTTGACATTATGTGTGAAGCCTGGCTAGATCATATTTATAAATACAAGATAAGATTTTCGTAAGATCCCTACATTAAAAAAAAAAAAAAAAAAATCAACTGACAAAAATGTAATTTTCGTCAATATTTCTTTTTGTAGAGAATGGGGTGCTTTACAACTTTTGGCTGATTTCGGTGCCGTACCTACATGGCTAATGGAGCGTGTCAAAGCGACTCCTAACTTGCTCTGCACAGAAATGTTGAGGAGGTGTGAAGGTGTGGGGAGACTCCTACTTTCCCAGCCTGGGCATAGAGTGCCAATGGTAGACAAGACAATAAGAAAATACCAAGGTTTGTCTTTTACACAAAAAAATTCTGTCGATAAAATTATAATTTTCTAGGTGAAAGTGAAAGTTCTCCGACGAGAATGCCACCTGAAATGTACGTTCCCAACCAGACTCAGTGGTTGGAACTGAGGGCGCCGAGTAAAAATTATTTCTCCCTTTGCTGTCCACTACATTTGGTACAGATTTTATTTTTCAAATGGTTATAAAACGATTGTGATTATCTTTATTTAGAATGTTTTTTAACTTTTCAGAATGCTTCTTGATTTAAAGGCCAAGGAGTGAAAGTAAATGGTCTATCTTAAAAGCATATGATTATTCTACTAAATAAAAATAAAATTATTTTTAATTATTATAAACATTCCCTATTTATTTTGTATTCTCCTAACAAATGTTACAATTAACACAACTTTGGAATGGTGATACTCTTTAATATCTTTGGAAGGATATAAAGGAAAAAATATGTAAAAATACAAGAAGCTAAATACAAATTTATTTATATACATCTTGTTTTTGTTTTTTAAATACTCTAAGATTTTAGTGCCTTGGTTTCCGCTTCCGTCGCATTTTAGAGCTTATGCTATTTTCAGATCTTGATTGCTGTGAAACACGTATAATTTTTCATAAGTATTAAGCAAAAAAATAGAAGCATATTATACACCATATGAAATCACCATTGCCCATTCTTTTTGCAGTTGATAAAGCATGTTCGGTGTAATCAATCCCTCGTGCATGAGCTTATCTGTAAGTTTTCCTTTACTAGAAAATGGCTTGTTCGTTGGTTGGTGCTGTTTGTAATTTGAATCTTGGCAATACTCATCTTCGGATGATTCATCTGTTAATATGAAAAACGTGTAAAATTTTCAAAGTTTGAGCCAAGTTTGTTTTTACATTTATTGTTTGTTTAAACAGAATACCTTTGACAATAACATCAGAAGCTTCTAACAGCCTTGTAATTTGTGTTACTCCTTGTTGTATAATTTCATCTAACTCACTTTGAAGAGCTCTCACTTGATGTACAGCCGGGAATAAATCAGGAAATCTAATACTGTAAACAAAAATAATAGCAATAAAAATAAAAATACCGGTTTAACAAATAAACATTAATCAACCTGAGCCATAAATAAAGGTCTAAAACGTCAAACACCGCTTCCAAATGAACAAGTTCTCCTATTGATTTTGGAATGCTGAAAGGTGTGTATACGGCTTTGCAAAGCCAATTGAATGTCACAGCTTCATTTTTACAAAACAGTCTTGCAAACTAAAACATAATTTGAAATTTAAAATACCAGTAGGTTAAGGTTAAAACAAATCTGGACTTACCTTAAGGAACAGTGAACAAACAAAAGGCATTTTTCTGTTTATCGGTGCACAGCAGAATAAATACCGACTCCTGAGCGGCAAAGGTACATGCTGGATCATCTCTGCAAGATATTTGAAGTCTTCGGTGTTGCACATGAAATAAAGCGAGTCATCTACTGTGCAAATTCCTTCAAATATGGTCTAAAAATATTTAATTGGTTTTATAACATGTAAAATACAAATATATTGGCAGAATTGATCCTATATAAATAAAAAAATTATAGTATGATAATAACAACTTCATAGATTAATTGTGCTTGTTTGGTGGTATTAAGTGGCGTTTGTTGAAGTAATCAGTTTTTTCCATTTATCTTTTTTTAAAAATTGTAAATGCATGTTAAAACTTCTCTAGTATTGTAGGCTAATGAATAAAAAAAATGATTTTTCAGGTTTTTTAAACTTATATTTGTCCCCGGTAGGGTAAGGTTCATGACAACATGTAAACAACAGGTACCTTCCAATGAGTACCTCCAACTCCGCAACCTTCCCAACTTCCCTGTACTCACTAGTTATTAATTAGTATCCAAATGTATATCTTTCAACGCTCTTTGGCGTACCATTGAATAATTGCACTTTCACCTTAACTTAAAATATGAGCAAGCGGAAGATCCCTAGGATTATCTTACAAAGATCGCTGATAATGGAAGTGCGGAAAAGACGCGAGCTTTGGGACTTTAACCACGAGAGGTACAACAACAAAATGGTCCTGCTCAAAGCGTGGGACGATATCTCCAAGATATTCAACACGTCAAGTGAGTCTGTTGAGTTTTGGTAAAATGGAAACCCCCCCAACTAACAACTGGAACCATTTAACGAATAGGTCGTAAAATCGAAATCCAATGGAGGAAATTAAGGGATCTGTACAGGAAGGAGCTGCTCCAGCATAGGAAGACTGGGAAGGCGAGTACCTGGCAACACTACGAGAAGCTATCATTCCTCAAAAACGCCTACGACTATAGTTTAAAAGCGAATACTGTCGGTTCAAGTGACGAAAAGTCCGAGGACCAAGACTCAGACCGAGACAGCCTCAATGAGTTAAAAATCATAAAGACAGAAAGTCTAAATTCACAAGAGTTGGTGTTTGAAAGCCCAGAAACCGGTCTGCAAGAGGAGGTAGAGTCAAAAGTATTTAGAAATCTATCTGACGATGGACTCAAAGATTTCCTGTTAAGTTTACTGCCAGAGATTGAACCGATGGATAATAAACAAATGAGAGAATTTAAAAAACAAGTCTCTAGCCTTGTTCAATCAATTCTTGACTAAATGATAAAGAAATGTATTTTTCCTATGTACATTAAAGAAAGGTGGACCAAAGTATTTTTAAAAATTAAAATAAACGTGAAGTCAGATTAATTTTATGTTTGTAAATTGATAATCCACCTCAACAAAAGAAATTTTGTAAATATGTTAATATATACCTTAAGATAATGAAATTAATTGCCTACGCTTATTGAACAGTAATTATTCTTTGTGTATATTTATACAAGGTGTATATTTCTTGATTTGTATTAAATTACAAACATAATAAAATTGATTATTTTCTATAATAACCCTAACACCATAATTTACACAAAATAAATGATCTGCGAGTATTTGGATCCAATTTTTGGAGGAAACAGGACTGTTAATTGAAATTGAATGTATTTATTAGCGTGAATGTGTAGTGTGAGAACAACTGTGGAATACTGAGTACCCCATTGAACCTCATTTAGATACATGATATATGCATAGAAGGATTATAGAGTATTCCATCACCCTACTTGCTTTAAAAATTGCATGTGTTTGGGACTGTAATGATCTAGCAGTTGAAAGCTCCTGGAACCTAGCTGCGAAGGCGGAATTGATAAAAATACTTATACACCTGTTCTAATTGCTGTACCTAAGTAAATCTAATAACATTAGAAGATAAACCAAAACAATGATGGAAAACAATACTAATAAGGAAAGGAGGAACTACTCGTTAGTAGCCATTCTTATTTATTAATTAAATTCACTAATTTCGTGGTCCGCTTGACCAATTAATACATTATAATTAATTAAGGTTTTTAGTTGAGATGAAAAAAAGTTAATGGCACGAGCAGGATTCGAACCCACGATCTTCGGCTAGATACGCCGCTGCTATACCACTTGAGCTATCGTGACCTCGATCCACTCGGACATCAACTTCCTATCTCAACCCCACCTTATGAGTTTTCCCTTCTTTTTGCCATTTTTCAAATGTCATGTAATCGGATTGGATTTTCGACGACAAATGAAATGGCCAGGGAGAGCTTTAGTGAAGTGTACTTCATTTTAATTCATTAAATTCACTAATTTCGTGGTCCGCTTGACATTACAATTAATTAATTGGTCAAGCGGACCACGAAATTAGTGAATTTAATGAATTAAAATGAAGTACACTTGTGTGTCAAAATTGAGTTGTGAGGCCTGTGATGCTTCAGTCTTCGGGGAGGATCGCTTGGACGGGTGCTGGATGAAAAGATTTCTGACATGAGGGTGTGTGACAGGATAATTATTAACTTTTATTATTTTTTGCTACTTCAAGGTCTATTTGGAAAGGAAATTAGGGTAAAAATGTCTGTGGTGTATACTGTGTAGAGGATGGGTCCTAAAATATATCCTTGTGGTACTCCTGATTCTGGTGCGATAGCAGCTGATAGAGAGGCCACCTGTTAAGCAGGATTTTAGCTTCCAGTGCAATCCCAAGTGTCATACCCAATTGATTTTGAGGAGCCGGCAATGGTCATGGTACCCAGCTGGCCAGAAAAAAAAATGCTAATAAATGATTAAAAATGTCATGTACCATTCAAACATTGTAATTATGTCTAATTTAAACAACTTGAACTAGATTGCAACGAATTTGTTTAAACTAAATTCTACCATAATATTGAAAATAAATAATTAAATTAAAAAAATGAAAAAAATCGTACTTACCATGAGATTTGAAAGCGACGAATTAGGCAAGTGGTACGCATACATTTCTATTTGCTCTGCTGTTGGGTGGAGGCCCGCTTTTTCAATGAGTTCGGGTGACTGGGACAGCAAGTTTTGTAAAACTGGTAAATCTTCAGATTTGAACGTTGTAACAAAACCCTAAAATTGAATTTCCTTATTGAAGAAAAATATTAGAAAAAATGAATAATGACCTTTTCAAATTTAGTGCCATATCTTCCAGCTCTGCCTGCAATTTGTAACGCCTGAGATATTGTGATGACGTCGAGTTCCTTCTCGCCCTTTTCATTCATGATCGGTTTAACAAGGGAATAAAATATAACCCGCCTTATACTCCTGGGAACAAATTCTTCAATCAATTTCATTTAGGATTCTATTAAAAAAACAAACAAAAAACTTACAAATTGAGTCCCATTCCAATAGCGTCTGTGGCTACAAGGATTTTACAAGTACTATCTGGATCATTGAATTTTTGGGCTTGGGCTAATTTAGTACCAGGAGGGAGGCCTCCGTATATAACAGCGATTTCTTTCCCTTTTGTCTCTAATTCTCGACTTACCTAAAATAAAATCTTATTATATTTTTTCCTTGAAAATAATAATCTACAATTTTTACCTTGTAAATGTCATTTTTATTAAAACAAACTATACAGTCTCCTGGCTGAACATTATCCAATGAAACCAATGCTGCATGTTCGATTGTAAGATCTGTCAGTCTTTTATATCTGCAAATCTAATGACTACATATGCAAATGATGTTCCGAATAAAAACTAGTTTAACCTACTTCGACGTTTTCATTACAGGTAAGAGCAAGTGCTGATATCAAATCAATAGATGCCTCCTCTCCGCAGAGGTGGATTTCTTCAGCCATAACTCCTAGCAAGGCTCTTGTCCATGCCCAGCCTCTTCCAGGGTCTTTTAACAGCTGAATTTCATCTATCACAGCCACTTCATCTAAACAAAAAAAAAAACAAAAAAAAATTATGCTTTTTCATTAAGAATGTGGTTTTTTTTCATTACTTACAAGGAGTATTAACTGACGTCATTTCAACAGTGCAAGAAACATGGCTTGCTGGGTGGTTTTCATTAAGTGCAAACTTTCTCTCCTCACCTGTCACAAGATCACAAGGAGTGCCCTAAAAAATGCATACATATTTGTGCTTAAAAGTATTTAACTTTTATATATTTTGACAATTAGTTCTAAAAAATCTTCAACTGATAGATTCAAAATAAGTGTTAGGTAGTTGTAGCTAATTATCTAATTTTAGGCAATTATATATGGCTAAATTATATATTTCAGGTTCTACAATGTAGAAAAAGAACCTAAATTATTTTAAATACTTACTCTCTCATTTGATTTTTTGTAAACTTCAGTGGCTAATAATTTCAGAGGGCCACAGTAAACACCGGATTTAGCGTTTAGGAACCTTTCGAGAGCGTGGTATGTCTTTCCACTGTTTGTTGGACCGGCATGGATGATAAAACGTCTCTGCATGCTTCTAGCATTCGGGTACCTTCGACAATATGTCACTATGAAATTGTCAATGTTTTAGCAATTCTTAACTTATCTATGGGACTCACCAGGAGGGCGGCGTTGTGAGGTCGCTTATCCTTTTCAAATCGTCCATGCACTCGAGGTGTGGAAACATCTGCCTCGCATGCCTCAGATAGTAAGGGAGTAAGTTCGAGACGTGCGACACATTGTTCATGATATCGCAAATCGTAATGTGCAGATCAGCAGGGAGGCAGTCTGAATCGAGGCAAAAACGTCTAAAACTGAGGTATGCCTGGTGTTGTAGATAACCTGAAAATTTCCATTTATGATTTTTATTTATTTATTTTTATGAGGGTATTTAGACTATGAGATTATATGAACCCCCACGGTGCCAGTGTTTTTGAAAGATTTTTATCTGTTAAAAATGCTAATAAAATTTTCTATACAATATTTGTATTATAGCTTGTTTAGATTGATTTTATGACTTTAGCCTCAGATACAGTAACTGGTATGATCAAGTGCACCTGAGACTAGGAAATACTTTACAAAATATATATGTATAGTAAAATAAATATTTGTGTTTTTTAGTGACCGGTTGTTTAATAATTTGAGATTTCTCCATGGGGGTCTATGGGGTGATGAAAATGAAAGGGATAATGTCCAAGATGCCAAAGGCACTGACAAACAAAGGAAATGCCGACAAATGCAACCCTTAGAAAAGAGACTTGACAAGATTATACGTAAGATCGCAAAATGCTGAAAGTCCATACCAGCGAGAGCAAGTAGACCAAGATAAGTAAGGATCAAACTGAAGGTACATCACTCAAACACCACAGAAGGAAATCTCAAATTTTTTCTGACCCATTTGACATTTGAAGGCATAAAGTATTTAAGATAGATATAGAGGTAAATGATGATGTAAAAATTAGTGAAACTGGGCGGGCACCTATCCAAAGATGAGGAGTTAAGAATGAGGGAAGGGGTCTGTGTCTTCATCGGATGAGCACATCAGTCATCATCATCGTGGAGAGGTGAGGAAACAAATTTTGTAGGATAAAATTTCATTGTAGTCCCTAGTGATTTCTGAACTCAGGGGAAAATTGGATAAGTAAAACACACACCATTAATTTATTTTTAAGTTTAGACAACTGTAAGTTTATAGAAATGATGAAGGTGGGGTGAGTATGTAGATTCAGAACTGTAAGATTTGTTACAATACAACTTTAACTTTGGTAACTTTTTTATTGTCTTCACATGTCAAACAATTTATTTTATTTTTATTATAAATTGCATTAACATTTATTAGAAATTATTATGTTTTTTACTGAAGGAAAATTTAATTAAGGGATTTCGGGGGGAAAAACATCAATTAAAAAAAATAAAAGGTTTTACTTCTTTCAATTAATTATTCTATTTACATAAGGTCTCGGTTGAGATGAAAAAGTTAGTAAATGAGCTACATTCGATGCTCAAGTGGTTAGAGCAGCGGCGTATCTAGCCGAACTCGTGGGTTTGAATCCCGCTTGTGACACTGACTTCTTCATCCCAACCAAGACCTTACATAAAGATTAATTAGTTAATTGAAAGAAGTTATTTGGTCAATTAGACCACTAAACATAAATGTACTAATTTTTTATACTGTTATCAATTTAAAAGCCATAGGTTCAGTCAGAATTCGAACCTAGAACTGCTGGAGTGGGAAATACGAGTTGGACGCCACTCAGCCTTGGTTTTACTATACATGAGATAACTGAGTTTACGAAATGACAAATATAATTTTCGAAATGTTATTGTTACTTTTTGATGTGTCTAAAAAGTCACATAGCATTTAAAAGGAAATTATTTACTCCTTGACTTGAATCATTTGTAGAGTCTGTCAGGCCTGAAGACATTCTGTAAAATCTTATCCCATTTTGCCAAACTTTGACTTATCCAGTTTTGCACAGAGGGTGCATATTACTTATCTGCAGTTACTGATAGAGAGTAATTTTTGACATTTTTAACATAACTTAAGAACATGTTATTTGAAATAAAGAAAAACTTACTATCAAGCCCGTTTTCCACGGATAACTGTTTGAGTTCTGACATTTGGTAGAATTTGTTGAGCAATTTGATAAGCTCTGCCTTTGGTATGGTGCCTGCAAGTTCTTTCCCGATGCCCTCATCATCCTGGTTGGGCTTCACTGGAACCGGGGTGAAGAGGGCCGACAAATTTGAAGCGGCTTTCTTGGTTCGGAGGCGGATCTGTTGCTTCTGCGGCCCGGTCGCCAGCCAGCCGGATTGCAGCGTGAAGCGCAACTCCTTTCGGCACAGGCTGTAAAACGAGCGCCTGAGCTGGAGCATGGCACGGTAACTTGCCTTAAAAACGCTATAAGCCGGGAGGCTACGGTGAAAACAGCACTAAAACCTACCTGGATGGAAAACTTGGGAGGCTATAATTTGCAACAGTGACGTCATCGTTTTCTCATGTACTGGTTTGATTTCTATGCATGTTTTGAACAGATGTTATGAACAGTTTAATTATTCAATTGACAACTAATACCAATCTTATTTTAATTTTGTGTGGTGATTAATGACCGTTAGTCGATGATTATTCGGAAATCGTGAGATGTGGTCTGGTGTGACGTAGATTTCACAAAAACATTTTCTTTTTCGTGCCAACGTTTCGATCTTTATTGAGATCATCTTCAGGGCCTGGGATTTAAACATTGTTTAAATTTAACAAATACATGTAGGATGTGGAAAAAAGTGAATTTATACAATGCAAAAAATATTTTTGTATTAAATCAAAGTATTTCTTATTTTAATTGTGTGTTTTATCCCCTTGCCTTACATGTTATAGTTTGAATTATGTTCTTTACAGCAAGTAAAAGTTAGTTCTGTCACATTTTTTAAAATTAGTTCATTTATGTACCAAATTGGGGTTTCAGGAATGTTAAATTATTATCACGAGTTAACTGAGACAAGTAAAAAGATACATAATTTGCAATAAACCTATTTATTTATTTATTTACAGGCAGTTACCCATTTTATTACAATAATTACAAGAAAGGCAAAAAACATTTAAAATACGAAAAACATTAAAATATTAAACATTGAGAATGTAAAATAATAAAAATAATAACGTAAAATATAATTTAGATACCAATATTTGAATACGGGGCGTCGGTGGCCTCAACGGTTTAGGCGCTGACACGGCGCTCATCAATGCAAGGTCCCAGGTTCGAATCCAGCGGCTCTGCATTCGAACCCGACATACTTATAAATGGGCTTTTTTCATAAACACCGACACCCCCGAGGGTTGATATAACCTCTGCTGATGCGAACCCTCGACCCTCGTAAAAAAATGTTTTGTTTGTCTTACAGAAGTACAATTCAAAATAAGATTAATTAATTATACGTTCATATATACACAATAACAATTAACGAGCACATCTAGCTCTCTCTCTCTCTCTCTCTCTCTCTCTCTCTCTCTCACACACACACACACACACACACACACACACACACACATACGCACGCACATTGCTAGTCAAATCCCTAATAGTATTTTTGTATTCAAATATTGGTATATTGTAAGTTATTATTTTTATCATTTTGTGATTGTCAATATTTAATATTTGAATGTTTTTCATGTTTTTAATGTTCTTTGCCTTTCTTATAATAATTGTGTAAATATACATTGACTGGCAAAAAATTCGGCCCAATTGATTTTTCTCATTTTCTCGATAAAAGCAAATTTTGCCCTTAATTTGTCTCCCTTTTTTACCAATTAATATTTGTTCATGCTATGTTTTAAAATGGGAATATCAATTAGAGGTAAACACACTTAATCCTTAATCCAAAACAAGGATAAAAGATTTTTCAGTGTTTAATTTTTACGGAATTTAAAATGTTTCTTTAGTCTCATTTGAATGCGGAAGCAATAAACTGTTTAGTTGTAATCTTTGTTTTCTTAATTTCAAAGTTTAGTGTTGAGGATGTTGTGCATGGTGTGGTACTTATTGATGATGGACGTGGCTATTGCCCTCTGAGTTCCCTACGAAACTCTGCGAGACGCCGTTAGACGTTTTCGAGAAAAGGGTCCTACCATAGATCGCCCTAGGGTAACAGAACCGCAGGATGACCGTTTGTTGACTTTGAGAATTTTTCGAAACCGGCACCTTACTTTTGTTCATGCGATTCATGAACTCCAGGAAGTTCGAGGTGCTCAAATTTCTGAAGGCACTGCTCGAAGAAGATTAGAATGATGGCTTTCCTCCCCGTAAGAGGACCAGAATTGACCAGAAAAGACAGAGTTGCACAGCTCGCATTTGCTCGAGAACACAGCCGTTGGTCTTTGGACGATTGGTCTGCTGTATTTTTTACAGATGAGTGTGGATGTCCACTACGATCTCCAGATGGGCTTGAAAGAGTGTGGAGAAGCCGAAATGAAAGGTACGAAGCTTAGAATTTTTCCCTGAGCCAACCTTTCCAACGTTGCTCAGTGATGGTGTGAGAGTCGCACAGAGTTGGTTGTTGTTCGTGGAAGGTCTTTGACGGCCACTCGCTATGTGGATGAAATTTTGAAACATCGTGCGTTGCCTATCCTCGATGAAATCAGGACAATCCTATTCTAATGCACGATAATGCCCGCTAGCATAGTACTAACGTACCTTCAACAGCATAACATCAGGAACTTTGCTTCACCAGCCCTCGAACATTTATGGGATAACCTCAAAAGACGAATAAGTGCACGTCCATCACTTCCTGATACGCTCCACGATCTTGAAATGACTCTTCGTGAAGAATGGGCTGACCTCCAGGAAAGAGACATTTCCAGACTGGTAGAAAGTATGCCGAAGCGTTTTCGAGATATAATTAAGGCAAGAGGAGGAAATAGGCGATATTGAAATATTAATTAAAAATTTAAAACAAATGTTCAACAA